CAAGTTGTGCATCATGATAGTAATGCTAAAGCTTCATCACCTCTGTAACACACTAATCCTGTGTTGGAAGGAAGAAACCCCATCAGTGCTGGCGTTGGGTACCCTGAAAGACACCGAGGCCAGAGGAGAACCCCATCAGTGCTGGCGTTGGGTACCCTGAGGTACCCTGGTACCGAGGCCAGAGGAGAAAGGAAGGTAAGAGATGCAGCTGACCTGCAAAGTGTGGGATTCAGACACAGAAACTGCATTTTGGCTGTGGTATTTAATGTCTTCTGGGAAAGTCCTTCTAACAGTTGTAATTTGTGTATCTCTCTAAGATTGACTTCGATTCTGGGCCAGTAAAAAGAGTCATTGCAAAAGGAAAACTTTGATTTGCCACAGGCCTTGAACCACTAAATAAACAAAAGAAAAAATCAGTTAATATTGAAAGCAAACAAAGATTTGGTGAAACAGTAAGTGATTTAACAAATGTCAACAGTATTATTACACATATCTTATGCTCACTGATACCTTACACAACAGAGTCACTCAGTGCCAAAAACTAAGCTGCAACAGAATTTTAATATGGCATGCACCCTAAAAGCCTCACTTTTCTCTGTTTAATATGGGAGGTGGGAAACTGATGGCAGCAACAAGTGAGCCTGGAAGCTAGAATGGGAACATTAATGGATGGGTAAAATGTTATGACATCTATAACATCTTTTCAGCACTGTGATTCCTCCAGGCAAACCCCCTCTACCAACCCAAAGGCAACCTGATGGTCAGATCAAATAACAAAACAAGTAGGTCTACAGAAGATAGTAGTCCTCTCTAAATTAAGAAAAAGTATTATTTCTTTCCACTCCCCCAGGGATTAGTCTAGATATCAGAAGCATTTAAACTGGGTATTACCTAAACAGATGTAAAAGAACCACAAGGGTTTATGTTCAAGTTTTTCTCCATTTAATCCACAAGGGAAAAAGTCTTTAATAAAAGCCCAGATTGCCCAGACAGCTAAGAAAACTGAGGACACTGAATCTTCTTTTCAAAATATATATGTTTTGAGAGGGGATTTATATTGAAAAAGATAAGCCATGATATATTTTTTGATCCTGCTAGTAAATAATACAATAATTTAACTTCTATTTAAAAACTAGTCCTTCCATTAAATCTTAATTGAGCTTAAACTGCCACTAACAGTATTTCTTATTGACTGAGAAATAAATAGTCATTGATTGGCCTGACATAATTAATTGTTATTGTAGTTTTCAACAATTTAAGCTCATTTTCCCAGGCTCCTCTTTCCACAATGTTTGAAAGATTTTATTAACACTACTGTCAATAATTTAAATAGGCTTAAGATTCTGGGAATTACAGAGTAATCATTTTTATGGCTGAGTGTTCACAGAGAGATACATTGAAGTTTTACTTCTAAGAACATTTGATTTGTAAAGCAGTATATACCTTCCTAAGACAACTCTGTGAAGGTTTTACACTGCAACTGTAGAATTTATGCTGTTCATTATGTTTCGATGAAGCAGAGCTGGCACAGGTATTGTCCCCTCCATCTCTCCCTGTGCAGCTGCCTAGTTCCTTTATAAATTCTCTGTGGAACATACTTGATTTTTATCCATATATAAACTCATTCAATTATTTTCTTTTGATGAGGTAAGATAATAAACGAAAGATGTGAATTCAACTGGCATCTGGAAAAATATTTTACCAGGCAGTCAATGCTGTTTGATACTCTCCCTCCTCTTGATCCGGAGCATCGCCCCTGTCCCTGTATTTCCTTGGGTTTACACTCTGTGGAGTACCTGAAAGAAGATGCTCAAAACACAGTGGTGTGGAAGGTGAAGGCCCAAAAGAGAGGAAGTGAGAGATGGAATGCCAGAGCAGAATTATGTAAGGTTCATCTTCATAGAAAGTCAGTGCTTGAAAAAGAAAACTCATTTTATAACTTGCTGTTCTATTCAAGGGCATGGGTTTTAATTTCAGGAAGGGGTTGCTCACACATTCCAGGTAAGGCACTCCCCTCTAAACTGTCGTGCTGCTTTGGATGAGGAGCCTGGCCCCAGACCCCACCTGCTCCTCCCACTGTTTACAGAAGCTGGTGAAGGAGAAAGAATATGAAAACTTTACTATCAAGCTTTTAGTGCAGGTACTCTGAAGTGACCCCTGAACTTACAGTCCTTAAAAAAGCAGTTTTCCCTCACTCCAAAAAAACCCATGTTTTGGGAACAGCTCCATGGCATCTTCAACTTCTTGAACACTTTATCCTTTTTATTCAACTGAAAATAGCCCCATAAGATTTCTGATTGACTGCTTTAATGCTTTATTGTGCAAGTTAGTTGGAAAACAAGTCATCAGGCATACATCAGAAGCACATACTCTTACACCACTTGCAGGCTCCTGTGTGACTTGACCTTCAGAGTACTGATGGCTTCAAGAGCAGCCTGGAAAAGCTGTGCCCAGGAAGTCTGACCAAAGCTGTTTTCCCTCAGAGGGAGGGAAAACACACCATAGGTTGAATCGTGACACCATTAGCAGATGATGATTATTATTATTGTTACAAGTGCCATGTGTTAGGTATTCAGACGAATTACATGTCTGATTGTAATTAATGAACTGCTCTACTCAGAGGATCGCCTGACTGCCAGGAGAACACATATCTGCTGTTACATTAATGTCACTAGGCAGCAGATGGATGATTTTTTTTTTAAATGAAATTGAAGAAAGGAAATTGAACTTGGCAAAGTGTAATCGGGAAATGACGGCAGGTACCTGAGAAGGGCTGAAGCCTTTGAGCCATGGGAGATGCAAATAGCAGCGAAAGGGCAGAGGGGAGGAATGAGTTCAGAGTGGCAAGTGCAGGCACAGCTGTGCACTGCTGTCAGGGAAAGGAAATGGAAACTAAAGCCAGAGCAAAAAATCCCACTGCCTCAGTGAGGCACCTGCCACATCCCGGGATGTCCCATTTCATCACATGACATCTCCCATCTCTCCCTCTATAAAAAGAAAGGTGCACTTCCATGTAGATCCCCTCGGTTCTCATCTGAAGGAGGAGGGCATGGGCCAGATGCTGCTTTCACTCATCTGCGAGCATTTGGCCAGGACAGAAGCTATTGCACCTGCCTTGTGTTTTGTCATGCTTTCAAGACGGATTCAATCCATGACATCTTACCATTGGATGGCTGGGGATGACTGAGGTCATGACACCATTGACATATTTTATTTTGAAAAAGTATAATTATAAATACAATCAGAATGGCATTTGTGTAATTAGGAAAAGATCTGCAATAACTCCAAAGGAAATGGGGCAAACAACTAGTTAAACACACGGTCAATTCAGACTAATGCCATACTCCTATATCTGCCTCCAGAATGGGCAGAATTTAATCTAAACACAAACTTTTAGTGGCCTGAATGGCATAATTTAAAAATATTTTTTGTTTCTCACTTTTTACCATGCTCACTGTTCCAACATTTTAATATTAATATGAAATGTTAATACTGCACCAGTTTCATTTTTGCCCTTGTAGTTTATCATGCCATCCCCACTAAACTTCTTTAAATAATTTGCTACTATATTTTGTTTTAGACAAGACATCCATGCAGCCCTTTTTGATAACATAGTTCTGGGCAATAACTTTGTTAGATTTGCTTCAGCACTTGCAATTTCAATACTTGCCTGTCTACAACCTTCTTTTTTTTCAGATATTCATTAATTTAATGATAGGAGTTAAAAGTTAGCACAGTTTCAGACTTTGTCATCAGCTATTTGGTGCCACTGAGATTGATTATATGTCACAAGTATTAACATGTGGTATGAACAGTTCATTAATTTACCAAACTTTTCTCAAAATTATTAAAAATCTCCCTCAGTGCATCTTCCAGGCTAAGGCTTATCATCCAAATACTTTTTTTTCCACATTTTTTGACTACTTATTCACAGAAAACTGATTTGTAGTCAAGATGAACTGTGGGAAGCCTACCTTACTGTGCAGTCTAACTTCTAGAAGAAATTCTGGAGAGTTCCCAGTGTCCAAACACCATCATACCCCATCTCCTCATGTACTGCAAAGTGCCATCTCTAGTGGTGCCACCTACTTTACCCCATGAGTTATTTCTCCTACTACAGCCTCTTCTTTATACCACAGCTTTGATTATTGAAACCAACCATTTCAGTTTGGTTAAAAATATTGAATCCTCCCAAAACACAACTAAAATTGAAGTACAGGCTCCAATCCTAAAAGAACTGTAAGCACCTGGAATTCATGGTGCACTGAACCCCCCAGCACTGACCTGTAAGCTTTCTGGGTTATCCATAAAATTGCCTCTCCAACGTATGATCATTCAGGACAATGGGATCCCAAGTCAACTGCATAGATCACAAGATTACAGCCTTCATGAACTGACTTAGGTTCCCACACACTGTAATTGTCCTTCTGTATATGCCACTGGCTGTGGTTACTTTCACATCACGTCTTGTGCTAGGTACAGCCTCGCAGCCCACTGACCTACAACCCAGCGGCTGAGGCTTGCTGCAGAATTGCCCTCTGGAATCAGCCCCCGTGTGTGTCAGGGCTGGTGCCAGCGAGGCACAGCCCCTGCTGCTGAGGGAAAACGTGTTTGCTTTACTGCCACTTACCCGTGGAAAACATGTGCTACCGAACGTTCTGTTTAAATGGCTGTTGTTACCATGGATGCAAATGCAAATCTGTTTTTACGCTTAATATGTTGTGTGGCAGCAAGATCCAGCAGAAGATTCCTGCAGATGTAAACACCTACATGCACAGTGACCTACTTACATGTGGGTTTGCACGTAGCCATGTAGAGGATGTATAAACGCTGTATTGGAAGCCCCGAATTTAAGAGAATTTTCAGACAGTCCCTGGCAGACAGTAAAATTATGCCTGGTATTTATTCATCCAATTTTGATGTAGTTTTGAATTTTCTTTTAAATCCCAAAGTCTTAGTCTTGTGCCAAGGAGTTGCCATTACATTGATTTAATTGGAGAATTCTGGTTTAGATTTGGTGACATTGGTAGCAGCCCACATTTTGAGTGGATAACATCTAAAATTCAGTGCCATGATGTTTAAACACTTCCAGTGATTTCTAGACACAAAATAAATTCAAGGACTTATATACATTGAATGCATTCTGTTTATTTGAGAAGGAAGATCTCATACGAGTGCCTGTTATGGAAGGCATCTCTTATCATGTACAATAAAATCAACCATTGCTTCCAGCAGAATACAAAAATACACATCTCAGTGACTTCCATACAATAATAAATATGTAATCATGCATCCAACAATAAAAAGGCACAGAAAACTGGTCACTTAGTAGTCATAAAAATTACTAACTATATTAACAAAGCCACCCAAATTATCTGTACAAGGAAATGTAACAATATATTCCAAAGGTGAAAACACATAAAACATCTTTAAAATAGTATATGCAATAAATACCTCAATTGTTTTTATATATTAAAAATAAAACTGTGCCATTGTAAACAGTATGTAAACAAACAAAATTCACTGTTCCTTACCATTATTACAAGTAAATAAAGCCAAAAGTTACACCCCTGCTCTGTTAGATATACTTCATTGGCAAGTTTTGTCAGGCTGTTTAAAGTTTTAGTCTTTTCTGCAGCAAACAGAGCCTGCTATGTGTGTAATTCTAAGTATTAGAGCAATTGCTAAGCTTTAAAACCGACTGCCCAGGACATAGTAGGTCATCAAAGAGAACTGGAGCTAGGAAAAGCAATTCTTGCAGTGTTATGGACAGAAGTCATTTATTTTCACTACATATAACAGTGTGGGTAAAACTCAACAGTTTACATAACACTGCTCTCCTGCAGGACTCGAGGGGGCTGTACAGAGGTGGTGAGCATCCCTATTCCTTTGGGTGGAGAAAGTGAGGCACTCAAAGGTTAACTGTGCTGCCCCCAGTCTTACACCAGCTCCACTGGCAGGAAACCAAAGGCAGAATCCAGACCTTCAGCCATTTCCTCCTCATTTCCTCAGCTATCACATGGCCTTGCAGACAAATAAAGGTGTGTCCTAAACTCCAGCCCTGATTAAAATTGCAGAAATCCAACCAACATGCAAAAGGAAAGGTGTCTGCCTGCTTGGACACCCATCTGCCCCCACCGACAACCACGGAGCCCTCACCAAGTGAAGCAGGAGCACCATAGGAGCTTATCCCCCACTAATCTGTGATCAGAGCCACATTAGCAGACTAACGAGCCCACACAGAGCCCTGTGTATCCTGCGCAAGCCTACTGATTGCCTCAAATGTCTATTCTTTTGAGGTCTGTTTCTACAGCCAACAAACTCCTAGAAAGTTCAACCAAGCTGCAAACCTCCTGCCTTATTAGCAAGGGGAAGGATAGGAATCTGAATATGATCCTTTCTTAAACAAAATTATAAGAAAAGATTCCTGGAAGTGGTGGGCATTTGCACAGATGTCTTCAGAAAGGGCCTTGTGAAGGAAGGTGTCTGCTATCTTATTTCTTCAGCTTTTGATAACCTTGACATAACTACCTCATTATTACTTACAAGTCCCACTATCCCTGGGATGACTATCTATGATAAATATAAACTTACCTGTTCCCAACATATGTATTTCAAAGTGCATGACAGCTCTTATTTGAAAATGGTATTTTAGCCTTAGATGAAGAAATTAGGATACATCTACTTAGCTGTTTCACAGCCATATGGTTTTTTTTACAGGAAGAATACACTTTGAGCATACATAATTAAAAGATACCCTGGAAAGGGATTTAGGAAGCGCTGCATTATGTTTCCTCCTTGTGCTATTAAAGAACTGTTCCTTCTGCCTCTAGACAAGTGATTTCTCTAATGTCACGCAGTTGTCTGACTTGCCTTACCACTTAACATTTTCATAATTTTAATTGATCCATGGAATATAAAAAGTCATTCAACACACTGGCTCTGAAGATACTTCCATGTCTTGATGAGAAGCTTAAAGCCACATACTTACTATATAACATTTTTTTTCCCCAATAAGGTACTTTTGGATAAGGTACTTCAAGTGTCTCATACCAGATCTGCAGAGACAGGTGAGTTGCATGAGATCAGTAGGTACAGAAACAGACAGGACTACTTTTTATTTATCAATGAATACTTCTTCACATTCACCTGCCACATTGCATTCCCTCTTCGTGAGAGGAGAGAGGCATGAAAGGTGATCTCATTTTAGATGATTCTGTATTAAATCTTACAAAAGTTATTTTAGAAGGTATTTTCTTAGACATGTTGAAGGACCAGATCAATGAAAAATTCTGTACAGTCTCTGAGGCATATATTCCCACCTGTGTTGTAGTTTGCAAGTTCCATAGAAAAATCCAAATAGAAACTGCAGATTTCACATTGGGAAAAAATAAATACATTTCACTCATTAAAAAAATTATCACAGTAGGAAAATAGCCAGTAAACAATAGATTCAGAGGGGTTTAATCTTGGCCCCCATGAGATCAATGGGAGTTTTGCCAAGGATTTCAAAAAAGCCAAAATTTCACCCAGAATCATATACAATTCTTTAGTTGACAACAATCATAAACATCCTGCCACCCCATTGTATAAGTTAAATATTAATAAGCATCTGTAAACATCCTGCAATTTATCTGATATAAAAAATACTATAATAAAAACAATGCAGCATCTCAAGCACTGTATAGTTTTAAGTTTTTTTTGGCTCTACACACAAGTTGGCATTGTTATATTGGGCTAAACCAAGGTATGTATATACATCTCTATGTACAGGTGTGTTCTCACATAAACACTATGAACTAGGTACTACATATCTACACACATCCACACAAATACTGGCAAGAGAATGACATTCCTAGGTTTGGCACATAAAAGCCTACCCATGATCAATTTGAGGATCTCTCTTATGTGAGGAGCATTTTCTCTCCAAGAAAATCATCTGTAGGCTTAAATGTAAATGCTGTAAGTTAAATACTAGAACAATCTCCAAGGGGCTAAAGTACTGTTTAAAGCACTGCATATGCCTAAGTCCCAAAAAATTTATATGATTGCAAAGATGATGGACTTTCTTGTGGAATGAACAGGAAGAAGGGGAAACGAACGGAAGAAACTACTGGGTACACACTAGTTTTTACCTAAACCCATACAAACCATGTTAGATGTTTTCATTTTCAATTGAATATCGGTTTGGATTGAGTGGAAATTATGTGTTATAGCTCTTTGCTGCAAACTGCCATTTAGACCCAAATATATGAGTTATGCAGAGAACTAGACAGTGTCACATTTCTGCAATGCTTCCATGTGTAGTTCATGCATCCACTCATGCATGTAAGTGGATGTTACTACAGAATTAACTAACAGCTGTACTGGAATACCAGTGTAAGTTACAAGCCTGGCTAATGACTGGAACCACCCATGCTGCACTGGGATCCTCTCAGAACTTTTGAAATATCTTCAGCTGAAATTTACCTTCCTTAAATGCCAGAATATACATTAAAAATACATTAATGCAATTCCATAGTACTCAGTATTTGAAGATCCTGCTCTAGACAGACAGATATGACAGTGAGAAGTTTTGTTAGTAGTGACTGATAGGTTTGCTGTCACCATGAATTAAGACAAGAAGCTGCTTGAAGAATATGATGTTATATTATTTGTGTATGATGACAGCAACAAAGAAGAGCCAGAGGAAAGGGGCAGAGATCACGCCCCCTTCACCTTTCAGGAGCATCTCAACAGCTTGTACTCCTTATGTACAAATACCATCTATTGCATGTCTCATCTGCCACTGTGAATATCACCTTGCTATTTGATGATCCCACTGACATACAAGCATATTAAATTCCTAAGGTAACTGGCAGCTCTAGGGAGGTGCCTAAAAGAGTTGCAGCTCTTTTAGGATTCAAAGGATATGATGTAAAAAGGTGGCTAATGAAACAAATTATTTCAGGACAGGTTCACAAGCTGTGCTCCTTGAGTGGGAAAAATGGTAATTTTTGTCGAATATGGGCAACTGCGTTTTTCACGTTACCCAATTTAAGGAGACATAAAACCAAGACAGAAAGTACAGACACCACAAATGACAGATGCCTGTAGAAAATCCTTTGGAATGTGACTAGGCACGCAGTCCAAATGCCTGTTTCAACGTATAGACATGGCATCTTGTGAGAGGAGAGTGCTACTAGGAACCTTCACAGTGAGAATCTGCATGCCTGTGTGCTCCTTGTAAACCTTCCTAAGCTATCCAACTAGAAAATCTTGTATCCTAGAAATTCTCATAAAAAGATTTTGGGTCCTACTGTTCAGCATACATGCTCTCCCCATCCCTGAAAAGCAAGACCAAGCAGCTTTGAATAGCTTTCCTCCATCTCCCCATTCACAAAATAATTGACCTTGACTGCAAAGAGAATTAGTCCCAAACAGAGCTTACTTCAATTAACACCAGGAGAAAAACAGTTGTGTCTCTATCTCTTTCCTTGCTAATGACACTCAGGTTATTAATTAAACTGGTTTTTATCCAATTAATGCTTTAGTTTAAAAAAACTGGGACTTCAAATGCTATTTCCTTTAAAAAGTCAGAGAAGGGGCACTGGAGATTTTATTTTTGGCTTTACACACAGTTTCCATAATGAAAACAAACCACCCAATTTTACTTTTAGTTCATTTCTTCCTGTTCCCACCATCCAGTTCACACAATCTTGTCTACCTGGATCAAGCACAGCTCCCTAAAATAGTTGTTTCCAATGAATTTGGAAAAAGATAATTGCAAATGACTTAAAATTTTGTACCACATTGCATTTATATTCAGTAGCTTTTCAATCCTAACACTAGTCTTTGAATAATACTACAAATTATCTTTTTGCAAAGTATTTGTTCCACAAATAAAATATTCACTGGCCATTTGTATATTGTCCTACTAATAGCTACCATAATGTTCAGTATTTTCAACGTCTTACGCACATGGTAGAGTTACCCAAAACACTTCTCTTTCCAAGGGCATTCTGGTAGCTTGTGTTAACTGTTAGAGCTTCCAGAAGGGACTGTAAAAATATAATTTAAAAGATTTTAGTCCACCATGGCTAGGCTAGGTTTTGGAGCCTGAAGCCTTGGTGTACCTTCTTCTCCCTGACCCTACAACTTTTTCCTGGCCTGCCTGTCCAGCTCTTCTGAACAGAAACCATGGAGAGATGTGCAAGGGTCTCATCTTGCCAGAAGCTGGGAGCTCATCCAGACACAGGAGCTGGGAAACAACGCAAAAACATTAATAAAGGCATGACTGGTGTTAAACATAAATGAGGCACCAGCTTCTTCTGCCCCACTAATACAAACAATAGGTTATAGGAACTCAAAATCCCATCAGAGAGCTCATCAAGTTTTTGCCAACTGGGAAACAAGTCTTTAATCATTTAAAACAGATGTTCGTAATTCTACCATGTGCATATAGGAATTTTATGTTGAGTGTTCTGAAGGTGATAGATCTTTAACCACTACAGCTAAATTGATTAAAATTTGTCCAGAAATACTCTTGGTTATGTATTCATCAGCATTTTGCTTCTTTGCAAAAGTATTAACAATGCTAAAATTTTTTAATTTACATATGACAAGGAAGATGATGTTTTAAGATTAATTCTATGCACTGAAAAAAACCACAAACCTTTCCCAATTATTCTTTTTCAGTTAAAGTATTGAGGGTGATCACTATTAAACCTACAGAAGTTGCTATGAATTTTGGTATTAACTCCAACTGGCTACAGAAATAGTCCTCTCAAGGCCTCCAGATGGCTTCCAAATGGATTCTAATTTCTGAGAAACACACTGGTCTTCTGTATGGCCAAAACAAACATTTCAAGTACATAAGCTAACATCTAACAGAGCTATGAAATGCAAATTCTACTAATGCAACAGCAGTAGAAAACAACTAAAAAATCTTTTTTCTTTTTGTAAAAAAAATCCATTCCACATTATACTCTAGACATAAATACAGAAATTTATACAATCAGTAACGAGTTTATATTGATAATTACCAAATGATGTTTTATCAATCCTGCTGATGCTACTATTCATCTCTGAAGAGAAAGCAGAGATATTTTAAGTCCTGTCCAAAGCTTAAATCCTGTCCAAACTCCTCAGCTTCCTCAAGTCATCAAAAACTTGTTCCTTAAGACAGCGACAGAGTCACGTACAGTTCTTGCAAACATGAAATCCATGCAGTTAGAATAAGCAGCATCAAACCTTGATGATATGAAAATCATACCACAAAACATACAATCCACAAACATACATGAAAACAGAATAAAAAATACGGGACAGCCTCTGTTATAGATGTATACAGGATGCTGCAGTTGAGAGGTACTTAAGTTATTGGGGTGAAAAAATAAATTTAAAATTACTTCTTTAATTTTATTTTCTGTGGCTCTCGTTTACTCATACAAGTGATTTCCTGGTGGTAAGCTGAACAAATTGCTCCAGCTGTTATCCTCAATGAGATACATTCCTTGTGACTTCACCTTTCACAAAGACTTTTTGCACTGCTAATTATTAATTACCAGAACTGTTGAACTCATAGGGAAGAACTTAATATTTAGGGGCACACAGAGAGCACCGCAGAAATAGCTGTAAACACTACTAATGCAATCACTAACAGGAAGCATCAAGCAAAATGGAATCACCATGGGGGGTTTTATCTTGCAAGTACATTATTACAACTGTTTTTAAAGTAGAACTATGGAACGTCCTCTCATATTTGCTTTATATATAAATTTTCCATTACATGTGGAAAAGGTCTCCTGCCAGTCTTCCTGAAATGAAGACCACATGCACTGAAAAACAATCATAATTTTACCCTTGAAGTAATACTCATTATCAAGGCTTTATGAAATTTTCATTAATAGCATGAGCAAGTTCAATTAAAAAGTAAAATTGGCAGGTTATCTATTTCTCTACAAAAAGCATGGGAAAATATAAAATGGACATTTATGAAGAAAAAAAAAATCAATACCTCTCCTTTGAATTACAGTGATGCAGCACTGCAGTATTAATTATTTTGGGCAGGGATAGAGAGATAAAGATTATTTCTATTTGTTATTTACAGGACCGAGCATGTTAATTCCAGTCCCAAAACAAGAAATACTGGCATGAAATAGTCTGGGAGGGTTTTTGATAATATGCTTTACACTTTACTGTTCTTCCAAGTTCAAAGCATTCAGGAAAAAAGAATAGTGTTTAAGGGGAGAGACATATAATGTATCAAAGAAAATTTTCCCTTGCCATCTTATAAAAAATTGATTTCCGAATCGTCTTTTAAGTATTGGAGAACATCCCCAACACCTAAAACCATGAGTTGTCTTGATTTCATTCAGTTTCTAAAAAGAAGTCATGAGGCTTTATAAAGACAAAACTTGCATGACCCAAATCAGAGGTTGCTACAGCAATCAAATAAAGTGAACTGAGAAAACCCTATTTGAAAATGACAAAACAGCATCTTATATTTAGCAACCTGCTGCAGTTTTAGCTTTTCAACTATACGAATACCAGCCACTACAAAAAAATGCAGATTACTCTGCACTCCTTTCAGGCTTTGATGTATACTGACCACAGAAATCGCATGTATTTGACTGGGGAGGAAAAATTTAATCCAGTAAAGTTTGTATAGGGATTGTCTTGATAAATCTAGCAACGATGAATCAGGCTCCACAGGATCTTGTTTTCTAAAAAGCTAACTGCTTTTAGGGATGTGTTTACCTTGGTTTTGTTAAGATATTGGGATGTGTGCTTTGAAGCACTTTTTTACAGCAGGATTAAACTAGGGAGAACACAGTATGTTTAAAAAAATGTACTTAGTTCTAGGAGCTGGGACTTCTACAGCAGAAAGAAAAAAACCCCAATACTTAGAATAACCATGAGAGAGTAACACTGTGTTCAGGTCTTCAAAAAAGCCACAGCACTTAAACACAGCTACAACCCACGACCTCCAGAGAGAACCCCTGTAAAAATATTTGGAGCCTCCTTGTCAGATGCATTTGCATTTCATAGCCAACACTAGTCTAAGGCATAGAGTTGCATAACATTTGCTCTCCTGGGCATCTAATAAATACAGCACAAATGATACTTACAGTTCTGTTTTTTTCCTATTCACATGTTTAAAAAAACTGCTTAGGATAATCAAAGTTAAATTCTTTGGTGGTCATTTAGAAAAATGAACATTGATCAGTTGTCCTGTACTGAGGTAATTTGAGGTGTGTCATAAGAAAGCTGTGTTACAAACAAAATTTTCCCATTTTCCCTGTCCAAAAGCAGCTCCCATTTTTCAATATACTCAGCATAGACCTCTACAGTGACTTGGAGAGATCTGGTTCCATAGCCCATCTTAATGCATTACATACAGCAAGGCTGAAAGTTGTAAAGAGATTGTATCTTACAATCAGGAGAGCAAAGAAAGTTCTGCTATGTATTATGTCCTTGAATAGATCAGAAGATTAGCTATGTTGTCTACTGTAATATCTATATGCTAAAATGCTGCCACATGTTAAAATGCAGTGTAGCTTTTGGAGAAACAAAGAGAAAAGGAAATAATGCTTACAAAGACTTGGCAGATGTCACCTGAACGTCATTAAAGGGGTGAAATGTCAAGTACATTAAAATAAAACCAAAACCAACAAACTTTCCATTGTTTGCCTAACTTTCCATTTTTTTTCATATGCTTTTCATATAACAGCCTGAAAGTCATATAATTTGGCAAATGCATTTTGGTTTGTTTTTTACGCAAAACCTAACAGAAAGTAGCCTTTTACTTTTGTTTACCAGAATAATCATTATATCCACAGAACTCCCAGAGTGGTGCCTGTTGAACCTACAGCAGCAAGAACACAAAGAAGATAAAAACTAAGCCTGTTTTGATTGATTTTTTTTTTCTCCAATAAAAAATGAGTATGATAGATTTTACTTTCCAAGGGATGAGTCCCATCTACTTGCCATGGAACAACTCTGGTCATATGCATGAGAAATGGAGGGCAAAACCAGGATGCAGTACTTGACATTGGCCCCTTTATACAAGAAAATAAGTTTTGGTAAAAACAAATGAAACTTTACTCTCCTGCCCATGAGTGAAACATAAATAGATGTTAAGATACTCTTTTAACATGCAAGAAACATCAAAGCTACTTGATTAAGTGAAAGTCAAGTGTTCCTCGTGCTGCAACGCCACATTGCTAGAAACAGCAAGGAGAGAGCAATTCTGTGCAAGTTTTCTGGCAGGTGCAAAGTCATCTAATCTCAAACATTTAGGTAGGATTTTTTTTGTAGATATCTAAAATTTATTTTCCTGCTACATTAATACTTTTGTGAAAAGTTAACCAGGAAATTAAATTATGAACCTATTTCATTTAAGTAAGTGTAAATAACCTTACACTAACCAAACTGTGGTCTAGAGCAATATCTAAAAAAAGATGGTTTTAATGTTTTTAACCTGTTTACACTCATGGATTACTGTCTTGCATGTGATTCATCTTAGCATGCATAGCCTAAAACCTTATAGTCTGGGTTTTTTAATTTTTATGCTCTACTGATGGTGGAATGCTGTCAAGAAACAAATTGATACCTTTTTAAAGAAATGCACATAGATGCATTTTTAAATTAATAGTTAATTAGCAACAAGTATAAGTTTACCCCACAAAAATCAAATCAGCTGCTACATTTTAAATATCTTCTTATGTATGATAAATAAAATTAAATTTTCCTTTAAGAAAATTTCATTAATATTTAAACCTGCTTTTGAACAATAGAATAAATAAAACCATTAGTGCCTACAAGTTCAAATATGCTACAAATGTTTAAGATAACTGAATAACTATATTAAAATGCACCATGAGAAAATTCTTTACCATTTTCCATGCAGGAAGCCAATTGATGTTTTTGTGAGGTACCGGTCTTTCAAAAATTCTCATAAGTTAGTTACCTGATAAACCTTCTGTACATGATATATTTAAAAATCTAACTGTACAGTGTTTCAATCATATATAATCTGCTGAATATGGCACAAATGCAAAGTTTCCACACCCACACACCCTTTGCCGTAGAACACGTTTTAGGCATAACACAACACTGAAGAATAGAAAAGTGCCTGAAATTGGAAGAAAAAAAAAAAGACACTCAAGTAGCAATAAATTAAATCTCATTCAAACCGATAAAAAAGTTGTTCAAGTGTTTAAAGTATCAGATGTGTCATGCAACAGAACAACAGACAATTCAGGCAGGCACACCATGCATTATAGTTTGCATTCATGGTATCACGAGGTATCTCTCCCCTCTTCTGCATGGCCAGCGAGTGCTGGATACCTGCGGCACTGCCAGGCTCACGCGTTGAACCTTCCAAACTTCCTGGTCTCCTGCACAGGAGGTTTTACAGAGCTACGCCTCGGAAGGAAAACCAGATGACCTCATGCTGTACAGTGGCATCTTGCTGCAGCATAAAGAGAGGCATACTGAGCTGCATGTAAGCAAAGCAGTCATTCCTTGATTATATTTTCCAGTCAGTGCAGTTCACCATCAACCGATCAATTTACCAGACTGGGCTAATCCAAACTGGCCAATTTGCACACCAAGAAAACATCTTCGCAGAACATATCACCTTTTCCTTTTTGTTTTGGCACAAATCCTTTTGTACTCTTGCTGCAAGTTCTTCACCACACAAGAATTCAGAGATGCTAGCCTGTACAAACACCAGTGCTTATTCTTCCATACACTACAAGGACAGCCAAGTGCCTGCAACAGCTTTGCTTCTCCAGCAACTTTATCTTCTCTCTTTAAGAAAAGCACCAGCATAATTACACTTCAGACAAAGGGGTGTTCTTGCTGAGCTCTTTAATTCCCTGGAGAATTCGCTTCATATGACCCACTTTCGTTATCCCCAGGTCCTACAGAAAATTTAAAAATAGAAAAAGGAAAAAAAGAGAAGAAGAAGAAGAAAAAGAAGGAAGTTTACTTTAAAAACAGGAAAAAGAAACCCCATTGACTATGACCTATCCATGCAACAGATGTCTAGAAATGTGCTCACTGCAATCAACAGTAACCAGGAAGTGTTAGCAAGAGTTGCTTTACGAAAAGACTGCTTAGAGCGTACAATGAATCCCTCTCTGTCTGGCACACAAAAAATTACTTACCTGCAACAGTCACAACCCAGGGCACTTCAATACACACCAAAACCATCTTTGGCTTGACTTATAAATACAAACACCTTTCACAATTTCTGGCAAAATAAATAGAACAATCTCCCCCTCCTCTCTAACGCAGCAACCAAATGCTTGGTAGAATGGGATGGATTGGAACTTCTGTCCAGCAATGTCAGTTGATATGAGGCCCTATGATGTCTGCTTTAATCAGCAAACAGACATATCCCCAGTTTCTCAAGGGAAAGCGGATGTAATGGCTACAGGCATGTAGGACAACTTCCCTTTAGAGAGCAATAGACAGAGTAAGCCTTTGTTTTTCATTCCAAAATGGTTACATCTCCTAGCATGGATGTTCCTGATTAGAGAGCTGGAAGAAAAATTATCAGAAACATGATAGTCATATCCCTAAGGAAATGTAAAAAGCACAAATCTCCTTGTAGCCACTAAATCATTCACATCAGCTGAAATATTTCTATTATTGGTTTCCAGACCCGTCTCTGTATGCAACAACAGACAAGAATTTTTTGTAGCAAACTTCTTCCAGTATTAGTAATAGCTTTAGCAGCATGCTTTTTCAATTTTGGCTGGTCCAATGATCAGAGAAACAGAATGGGATGCCCAGCTGTGCTAATGATCTCCCACCACACTAAAGAATTTTCAGCTCAGTCTGGTGGAAATCTGCTTCCCATATCTGTAAAACTCAGCTCTGAAAAAGTCTTTATAATCCATGTTTTAGTGGTGTTGAGCAATCAGCAGAGTCAAACACTAGTTATTGTAAAATAAACCTTACATAAATAGATTGTAGTTAAATAACTAAAAAAAAAATTAGAAAAGTTTCACTATTTTTTTGAAATACAAATAATTTCATTTTAATAGGAAGATTTTTCCATTACAGAGACATTAAAAAGAAGGGAGTGTAATTAGGCAGTTCAAAAATTTTTTTCTCATAAAGAGTGGAAAATGAAACCATATATATTATTCTGTATGTACTCTACACAAAGACTGTATCTACATTTTTACAGCCACAGAGACCTCAGAAAAATCTGTATTCTATATTACTTTAAAATGTTAGCATGCATTTAATTCGGAAGAAAGGGGTGGTAAAATGGGCATGAATTAATTATTTTATTATAAAGGTAGTGCAGCCAAGATTAAACAGATGGTTTAATTTTCAGAGAGTCAAGACTGAATTCTGGTTATGTTAGAGAGAAAAAATACTTGGTGTTTGTTCAGTTGAAAACTGTCAGCACTATAAATAGGTATCGTCCTTCAGAGGACTTTGGCACAAAGGTGTCAGCATTAAGGAGTTCAATTTGTTCACAAAAGTTCCCAAAGTAAGTGCTGTTCATAAACTACCTGGAAAAAACCTCATGATTTTCAACATCACATAAATTTATATTTTATTTTCACTAATAGTCATCTTACTTATAAACCAATGTAGTACTAATTTTTAATTTAAGATACTTAATGTAGGTAGTAGTCAAATTCATCCTAAAATGACGGTAATATTTATAATTTTACATTTCTGTAATATTGTCCTTTTTAAATGTTAAACTTAAGTCTCAAGTGAATCAAAAAAAACCACACATGACTACTGAAACTAATGAAATACCCTAGTTGCTATATGGAAGAAATTCTGCGTAAGGGAAAACCCATAAGGATATTTTCCAAACCACAACAAACCACACAATTTAAAGGTTAAGAACTTACAAAATCTTCAGAACAAATATATTTTCATGAGTAGAACTTCTGTTGGGTTAGTAATATAGTGAGATGTTGCCAGAGTTCAAAATCAGAAAGAAGAAACATATGAAATTCCAAAAAAACTCAGCCACTTTTCCCACTAGCCTTTGTAAAGCATTTCACAAGACCCTTGATTCAGAGGCAAGGGATTTGGGGTTTATTTATTTTCCAGCTGAAGTTGCTGTAATGCATATCAGAACAGCAAGACTCAAGTGCCTCATCAAAAATTTTGGGGACCCCTTTCTGCTATACTTCCAAGGGGAAAAAACACCCCAACCAAAAATTCGGATTTTTTATGCTTTTATAATACTTTTCAGTTTGGTGGAAACTAGAATTTTACAGTCATGACACTAGATGCTATTTGGTATCCTCAGTTTACTGCTCATGCAGAAAAGTTTGCTGAAATTTTCTCATCTCAGACTAAAAGGATCTGCTACCTCAGCATATCATGCATCATTCAAGAATGAGAGCCTCAAAGATCTCTGTGTATTTGTGCATGAGACATAATCTGTTCATATCTAATTGGTATATAGTTAGCAAAAACTCAATTTGACTAAACTACAGTTTGAAGAAGAAACTCTAGCTAGAGTCTGAAGAAAAAAAAAAGCTTTTCTTTTTTCCCAGATATGGCCTTAGAACTACAGCATCACTTCTCCTCCTGCTCTCCCTAATCACTGTACCATCTTCTGGCCAAATGTACCACCACTAGCAAACAATTTATATAAGAACTCCTTAATAATACCTTCTAAATGTGAAATCTACCCTACTTGCATCCCCAGTGTAAAAGGTCATTTAGCATGTCTGAAATCTAACAAATCTTACAAAACTTTGTCCATAAAATAACTTTTTCAAAACATGATATTGCAAAACACAGGGATGAAGTGTCACAGTCCTTCTCACAGATTTTAGTTTGACTGGCACTGCTTATCAAGTTGATCTGTGCATGGAAAGCCTTTTTTCAAGGACACCAACACTGCTTTGGAGCTTTAAGGAGACATCGTTCCCTCGTCCTACCAAATGTGTTGCAGTTCTGATTATGACTAAGCTGCTTGCATAGGAATATGGTTATCAGTGCGAAGAATGCCAATATTTATTTCAGAAAAATTAGTCTAGTTTTCAGTAAGTTTGCTTGTAAAATAAGGTTAAAAAAAAAAAGTCACAACTATGCCTTCTTTCTACAGTTTCTCCAGAACAATACACAATTTACGGCCCAGCCATTCATCAAACAAAAGAAAATCATACGAGTGTAAATTTCTATGATCCCCCTAAATGAAATCAGGCATAAGAGGCTGGAGAAAGATCATTACTGCAAGGACTGGGTGGAAAGAGGTATTCTGGTTCTTCATTTGCTAGCTGCCACACAGAGCTCCCTGAGAATGGGATCCACAAGCTATGCAGATATACAATTAGAGGTGCTCAATTCTTCTGTCAGCATATCAATCTGTTCCAGTGATGCGTGCAAAGGAAGAGTGTTTCATCAAATCCTTCTCCATACTGCTTTTTATCTCTACTTTTGACCACAAAAAAAAAAAAAAAAAAAAAGGTGGGCTCAGAGGATTCAATTAAAACAGGCAGCAATTTTTCCTGCTGCAGACGTGAAAGGTAATAGACGTAAATGTATTGCACATGAGTTAGGAGCTCATGAATCAATGGTGATCTCATTTAGCTCGTCAGGAAGCACAGGCCTTGCAGTGGAAGAGAGGCTGCAGACAGATTATAGCTTGCAAGAGCACTGAAGCCTCATCTGCACACCTCGATAGCCAAAGGGAGGAAATATTCACAGGGCAGCTTGTGACGTGTTCCTCATTTCCCAAGTACCACATGACACATTTTGACACCAATTCTGGTCACTGAAGAAAACGGCAGGCTGCCTGAGCCATCCTTAATTGGCTCCCTGCAGAGACCCTGCCCTGTAATCAGCAGGATGAGCACTAAACTCTGCTATTTAAGTTCAGTGTTGTTACACACAATGCAAGCCATGCCTGCCCAAAAACCTGGCCTAGCTTATGAAGGGCACCGATTTGGAAGCTCTCAGCATCTGCTAATGAGCACATGGGGCGATTCTGGAACGAGATTTTGGTTAGCTCAGGGCATGCCCTTGGCAGCCTGTGTGGAGCAGCTCGTCATCCTACCTGTCTCCAGGCAGCACTGCACAGAGGAAACAGTAGGCTCTCTGCAGGCCCTCCAAGACAAGCCTTTAGATTTTTCATGGCACACACCTTTGTGATGGGATTTTATATACACTGAACCAACGTGAGCCCTAGCAACAGGGATAAAGGGTTGATAATTCCCCTGCTGCAGATATTTACTTGGTTTAAGTGCCAGTCCACTGGGCATGCAGTCAAATTGGTACTCGTGAGAAATAAGGCACGGCCAGAAGCCATGTCCAGTTTAACATTGATCTTACCCACCATAATTTATTCCAACAAGTTGGACTTTTTAAATTTTCTTAACATTTTAGCAGACCTATGCATTGTGTGATGCTGAGTTTCTCAGCTGAATTTTAAGTTCATTCAGAACAGGGACTTGCAACATCCATCACTAGAACACTATGGTGGATTGCTTGGACAGTCTTCTATTTCTAAAGTTTTGCAAGTTTTAAAGTTTTTTTTTTTATTTAAACTGTCCCTCCCTGTCAGAAACCATCCTGAAAGAAAGGAATTTAACTTCCATGGTAAGAAGCTTAGGCGATCTAATACCAAAGAGTAAAATAATACAAAACAGCCAAACAGATTATCTCAAACACAGCTATTTTCAGCAGCTGCTTCCTATTGCAACAGTCACACAATGCAAGCACTACCTTATAACATCAGGATTTCACACAATATAAAAAACTTTACATAAAATAACACATTTGTATGAAAATATTGTCTCTACCTGGAGACTACTGCACTGTGGCTAGAACAATGACTTGCACTCTAAATGTAAATGTTTGCAATTTATACAATATCCTATTTCCTCCCTTATGTGCTAAAAGCAGTTGCAAAACCCATTACCAAGAACTCATTACTACCGAGTTCCTGGAAAAAGTCATTTAATGAATCCCCAAAGATATAACCACTATTACATATAATGGATGCACTTAAGTCATTCTTGAAAAGGACCAGCAAGCTCAAATAACAGCCTCAAACTGCTGGATAACATTTCTCCCTGCAAAATTTATCTATCTGACCTCAGCGGAAAAAGGTTTTGCAATTTTGAGTGGAAACAAAATACTCTTTTTGAAAAATCTATACAGCTAAAATCAGAAGTTGGTCACCGACGAGAAAACCTATTTTGACACACAAACACCAACGCCATGTAAGCCAAATACTGCAGTTTATTAAGCTGCTTATCTCTCTCACACCCACTATGTCCAATATATACACAATAAATCATGTGGAGCAGATCAGCCCTGCAGGAGATAGATTCAAAATAATTATAACCACCATCAACTGATCCATACTGATCATGTTTAATGGAAACAGCGAACTCTGGAAGAAAACATTGTATTACACAGATGCCAGTAAGATATCAAATGTGCTTCTCTTATGCTTTCTGACATAAACTGCATCTACTGCATCATATCATTCTGCATAAGGTGGGGGAAAAAAAAAAGAAATTTTGGATAACACAGATATTCTCAGTTGTGAGTTCAAGTCAGCACTTCAGAAAGTCAGGCCCAAGAACAGCGCATATTAGTTTATTGCATATTTGCACAGTGTAAGCCAAGCTACAAGCAATGACAAGTGCAGGGAAAGAAGAAAAGTTGGTTGTTGTTTTGTCAAAGAAAATGGTCAATAGCAGAAAAGTAGCACAAAGGAAATACCTTAAGATCTCGCCTTTCCAGATGTAAAAGCTCAGAGCCTCGGATGTCATGGCTGATGAAGATTTCTTTGTACTCTCCCAAACTGAGCAGATCCAGCCAAGCAGCAACTTCATCTGTGCCCCATTTTTGAACTACCAAAGTTAAGAGCAAAACCCCCTTAATTTCTACATGCTCAAATGCATCACAAGCAAAGGTTAGGCCAAAGAGAGTGGAAAACAGAGTAGAATTGCCGTGCTAGCAAAGGGAAAAGTTAGAGGTGTCTTTTCCACAAAAACTGACAATTTCCTTTTTACATGCAGGTTACAGGTTAGCAGTTAACACAAGAAAGTATCTAAAAAAAGTTGGGGTTCTTTGCTTTGCAGCCATGCTTTCAGCTTTACTCCAGTTTCTTCAGTAAAGCCTTTAAAACCTCATGTCCCAACAAATTCACATTAAACCAGCTTAGGATCAGTGATGCAAAGTCTAATGTTGTTCTGCTTTATGCCATTAATTTATTAGTAGTCATCCAGGGAGAGGAGAAGCCTTCAAAAACTAATTAACATGTAAAATTAAAATAGCGACTGTACCTCAAATACAGCAATGGCAGCAAGCAAGTCCAGTTTTAATTAACAGATTCTAGTATTCTTAATTAAGACAAAAAGTACTCTTTAAGCTACTGTGTTACACAGGCCATTAAAAAGCTCTCTGTAAAACATTGTTCTCTAAGGTTAGTTGCCCACATTAGTCCCATTAAGACCACATATATTAAAAAAAATAGTTATGCTACTTATTGCTGTAATTTTGCAACTTCATTCAATGCTGATTGCTTCACTTCATAATGAAGAGAAATCTGATGTCTAATCTGAAACTTAAATCTGATCAACAACTGCAAGATTTTGTAGATTGTGATCAACTGTTCATTGAAAGAATAAAGACATAGAAACAGTTTTAGGACCACCTAATCACTGATTATGTCCTGGACATAATCTTAAGGAAGTGAGCTCGTAAATAAAAATGGGAAGAGAGGAGGGTGGAGTTTGTTCAACTTCTAATTAAAAAACAATATTGACTATCATCATTTTTGTTTGAGCTGTCTCACTGAACCTATAACCCACTCAAAAATTAAGAATAACTGGTTAATTAAACCAGTGTGATAAAAATTATTTCACACCTAAAACTAACCTGAAAAACATGAATTGGAGCATCACAGGGAAACAATGTGTTTACCCATGGCTTGTAGGGCCATGAGTAAATCAAATGTAACCACCAGCAAAGACACAGATCCTGTTGCATGATAAAACTTTTAAAGTATTTTCACAGTAGTTCTTTGGTTCACTTGGGAGTATTGGGGTCCTATTGAATGCTTTCCAAATGCACTGAAAGAAATATTTATCCTAATGAAGATGCCAGTTAGCTCAGGTGCTTTCCACTTTGACTTTAGTCTTAGTTAAGTCATGTCACCTCTTACCAAAAAAATCCCATAAAAATCACATTTACTGCAAATGTTACTACTTTTCTTGCAATTTCAAAACACATACCAGGCTGAGGGCTGGTCTTATGCTTCTGAATTTTTTCTTTTTTAAACTTTGGCACTATACGAAACACTGTACTTCTATTGTTTCTTTTAGCATAATCCAGAGGGGGATCCTGCATGAGAAAAGAGGCATAGTTACCTTTAATTAAGAGAAAACAACAGCTAAATTATATGCTTGTGATGGTAATTTATAGTTAATCGCAAAAAATAAGACCCAAATTTACTTCTGTAAAGAATAATGTTAGGATTTAACTCTATACATTTTTGTATTAATAAATATAAATTTAAAATATATGTTTCAGGTATTTATTTATCAATCAAAACCTTTACATTCACAAATGGGAATAAAATACCAAAAAAAAGCACTAAGCTTAGAAGGCTGTTCACAGCAGACAGAAATGATCCAGCAACACCACTGAAAGTGCCTCAAGAGATCAGGAAAAATTGTAATTTACTTTTCCCTATCAAAAGAAAATTAAATTCAGTTAAAATCAGAATGTGTTACTCAAACTTACCTCATCATCATTTGGTTGAAAAACATAATAAAGCCAAGGAATCTCAGCAAGTTTTCTCAACTCTATTTCCACACTGTGCAAAGCATCAGACAACAGTTCTTCATGGGGAGCTTCTAACTGCTGTTTACAAACGGGCCAGAAAAATAGGACTTTTAGTTTCATGAGGTTTAAGTCTAGATATCTTGTTACCACACACAGACAGATGACTAGTTCATGGTGAGTGTCAACAAATGGTGAAGACAAATAATCTTCCAAAGTTAGACTTTGCTTGAGAGATGTGTGAGACCACCCTCATACTACATTTATTACAGCCCCAATCACAAAGGGATTTGGTGCAGACCAGTTGGGCATAGTTGTCAATCCTTGTCATCCTTCACTGCACATCCTTCACTGCTTTACAGAGCAAGAGTTATCTGATAACACCACTACAAGGACACATTAGAAATGGACACTACCTACAGAAGGAAGAGAAAACCTGATGAGAAGAGTAAGCAGCTGAAAAATACTTGTATGAAAAGTGGTGTACAAAAATTGAGTAGATGGTAATAAGCCTTCATTATTTTTTACAAATGTGTTCAGATGGTTGATCACTCTCTCATGTTCAAGTAAGAAGAAATGGATCTTGCTGAAGATTTGCATTCCCAAAGGTCTTCCAGAGGTGATATGATACCTGCACTACCCATTCCAAATAGGTGAGGCAAGGAGCAATAGGCACTGCTTCTTGCTAAGGGTGGAAAGAACTCCCAGGCAGGAGACAAAAACATCAGTAAAGGACATCAGTAAAGGCCAAAGGGAAAAAGACAGTGGTGGCTGTGTAAAAACACTGGGACTTGACGCTGCATCTGAATTTGACTCTGCTAAGACTTTGAGGACCCCACAGCGATGCCTGTTTCCTTTAAAACTCCAGTCTGTAAACTGTTCTGCAGCTGTTGTGTGAGGGAACCCATGTGGAAGAGGTAAGGAAGGTAGCCGATACCTTGAAAAGCTGTTTTGAGCTGGAATTGCTGAATCACCATTTTGAGGTGAAGAGTTGAATCCTACACCAAGTTGCTTGGAATCATTAATAAAGCAATCTGAACATCTATTTCTCTCTTTAAAGTAAAAGTAATCCTAAAGCAGTGCAGAATATCCTTCTGAAAAGATCTAATTCTGTTACATCCTAGTGAATGCATTTTTTAAATGGAGTTATAAGAAAATCTTGGATCTCCAGTGCTGGAAAAATATTTTGACACTGTTGGAGTTTAGTGATGAATTACAAACCCCATTAATTTATCCTACCTAACAAAAATGTCTTTCCTTTGTTTCAGTAGTCTGCATATGTTCCCATCTTTCAAAGGAGAGACCATCTTTTGTACGATCTTACCGTCTAATATAATGACACTGGAAATATAAGCTCCCTTTGCTATCATGTTATTTTCTCTGCTAAAGCTCAGAGAATTTGGTGTCCGTAAGCAGATTTTGATCTTTTGACTTTTTTTTTTTCCCATTTAAACAGTTTATTTGGAGCACAGGGGAAAAGCCACTTGTCTTTGAAGAAGTTACAAATTTTCTTGTGTTTTCATTTCTGAGAAATTACTCAAATCATCTATTTTCTATAAAAGAATGAAGCAAAGGAGTCTGTCTTTCTCCACAAGTACTTATCTAATTACTTGATTCTCAGAGGGAAACATTTTGCCTGGGGACAAAATAATGCCCATCTGATGGTGCTCCTGAAATAAATCCAAAATAATAATTCTGGTATAGAAAGAATCAGCAATTCAGGGCAAATTCTCCTCCTACAGCATCTTGGAATGTCTTATTTCCAAGATAAAAATTCACACTATGAATGAAGAAATAAAAATAAAGGATTTTTCAATTCCTTCTCTATTTAAATTTTTTATATGAAAACATCTTATTTCAGTGAGTTTAGATAATTTTATTCTGTTGAAATGAAACAGTTTGTCATACTTTTAACTTAATCCATTTCAAAACTGCGCTTGGCTCCAGACTGGAAATGCTTTTTAAAATTAAAAAATGGACACAGGGCCATATAGACAAAATATAGTATTTTTAATTTTTTACAAACTGTATGCCAGCCATAAGCATCTGAGAGATCCCACAAATCAGGTACATTGTCCCATCTTGAGCAGCCTGGTCTCATAGAAGATGTCCCTGCTCATGGCAAGGGAGTTGGAACTCGAAGATCTTTAAGGTCACATCCACCTCAAATCGTTCTGTGATGCTATGTTGTTATCATTTCACTAAAGAAATGATAATTGATTGTATTTTACCATTTGTTGTGATTTAATGCTCCTACTGTTGTATGAATTTGTTAATCATAGTTCTTACAGGAGGTGAAAGGAACCACAGACTTGTTTTACGTTTATTTACAGTTTTTTTTTCTTTTCCTCAGGAGCTGTAAGACCAAAACTCAATAGCCAGTAAATGGCAGCCAAAGAAGAAGCTTACAAAGCGTCCCAGTTTAGTCACTGGCTGGGGTTAAACCAAATAGTATAAGCACCAAAGATATGAGTTTACTGCTCTCAAGAGCTTTGAACATAGGAAAGAGGGATGTGGGAGAAGTGAAGACACCAAAAAATTAGAGGAAGATATGAAAGAAAGGATGTCCGTCGTTATCAGAGAAAGATCCTTAGAAGAACAGTTTATGATGGGAGTGCTGATGCATCAAGCAACATCTTATACTTCATCTCTCTCTATTTTAATAGAATGAGGGACCAACATAGAGGCAGCATTTATCATGGCAACAAGGTTAACCAGGATGCCTTGTTACTGTGACTGAAATACTCATCTAAGTGAGCATGATGTCATATGAGTGTAATGAACACCTCTGGAATATTGTCTTGGTACATTCCAAACAGTCTTTTTACTAAAAAAAGGGCCTGATGTAGCCTCATGAAGACATTTGCATAATCATAACAAGAAGCAGAAGTACAACATGTAAAAATTCAGAAACAGAAAAATGAATCTAATTAAGCTTTGGAGCCTGAACAATGGCCCAGTTCAACAACACAATGAGATCACAACCTGCTGCATAAAAGGTAATGTTTCAATGGGAAGGTTTCCATAATAACATTATTTCCAAACTGTCTCAATAAAATTTTACCAGTCCTAGTATGAAATCACCAACTTAAATGTTTTCTTCTAATTACTTTTGTAAAACAATTTAATTTTTTTAAAGTCTCTATTTTAATTCCCCACTAAATCTGAAATATATGGGATTAGCAATAGCAATTTTAAAAAAATCAGCACGTGTTTTTTCCTTTTTCTTGGACAAATACATCTAATGAAATAACTTTCCTTTTGAAAACACTGTAAAATAAAACATGTGAAACTAATCTTTGACTATTTCTATAAGTTAAACAATTATTAGCCTTTAGACTATATTTACTTTTGGTTACTCTAAAACAGATTTATCACTTGTTTGTATGATATGTGAACCTGCAGTAAGTATTATATCCTAACTCAGCTAAATTAAAATATTCCTATTAATATCCATTTTTAATTACAACACTTATATAAAAAAGCTAGTAATGAATCTGCTTTTGAATCTAAAGAAAACATAACTGCTCCTACTATCTTCTTAATGTAAAACTGGACCAGCATAGAAAACCTGACATCTTTCTTCTCTTCACAATGTCAATAGAGAAATTTTCTAATTATACATCCAGATACAATTGCTGAGAAATCTGTATCGTTTTAGGCACAAACACTTGCCAGAGAAGGTGCAAAGTCTTCAAGTACCATTAGGGGTTTACCAGTTGAAGATTATAAAATAACTCCTGAGAGATATTAGTACCTGTGAGTGATATTTACTTGCCCAGATTAGGTCTGCAGAAGTTGACTGTAGGAGTCTAAACATCTCTCACCCCAGACTCCCCTTAAACTCTGAAGATGGTCACATAAGAGTTCTCCAGAAGTTCTTTTAAATGCTGTATCTCCAGAAGATAAATCATCTTTTTCTAACATACGCCTCCAAGACAGCTGATTGTGAATCAGCTTCCCAAGCATTCCTATTTCTCTCCACTGACTTTTAACAAGAAGAGTCCAAGCAATGACTTAGCTATCTGAAGTGAGGTAAGATGGATGCCAGCCTAAGAGAAGATTTCAAAACTCATTCTGATCCAATAAAAAGTGCAGTGTAATCATCTCCTATCAACTTTGCAGAGCTCCTTGCAGTGTGTCCTCACTTTGGCACCAATTTACAAACATCAGCAAAGAACAAATCACAGATGATCTGAATGAAGGAATAAAACCATGTGCTTTGTGACCTTACCAAAGGAACTCTTCCTACAAGCAGAGATTCTGTTTCATTGTGTAAGGCCTTCACATTGACAGCTATCTCCATGGCAGTGTTTCTGGTAAGGCTCTGGGGAATAAGAAGCATAAACATTCTTTGAAGTGATGCAAGTCAGACTAAGTACTTTCACCTTACAGCACAGATGTTAAGTGCCTTCTCCTAGGGGAAATATACATCAGTTTGGCTCTAAACTCACAACGTGTTCAGCATTGAGAATAGAAACCAAAAATGTAGTATCTATTTGCTGTCTTTCCTCAACTTCATTTAGTATGGCATTAATACAATCCTGAAGATCATCAGGTGATCAGCCACTATATCAATCCATGTATGACAAAGGCCAGCAGAAAAGTTGTGTATTTCATTTAACAATTACTATTGACTTCAATTTTTCACATATCCTCAGCAGAAGCAAGCTACTAACCATACGTCAAAAAGCAAAGGTCAACTAACATACTTACCCTGTATCAATTTAGGTTAGATATGGACAGGCTCTACATAGTTAATCAGTTCTGGGTCCAATCCCAGAAAACACCCAGATTATCCAGTGTGAAGAGAGAAATCGGGAAACTCATTCCCCTCAGCCCTTTGCCTTCTCTGTATAGCACTTGGATAGCAATCAAGCATGAAAATATCTGTGAAATTTCCACAGAAAATTTCCACAGAAAATGACCTTTATGTAATAACAGCTCTGGTTCAGCCTCTGTCATGCCTCCACCCTCTCTGAGGCTATGCCTGCACAGAACCAGGTGGGGAGGACAGTGGGGAATGCAGAAGCTGCATCTTCTGCCTTCTCATCCAACTTGTTTTCAAACAGGGACAGGGGACAATACAGTCCCCATGCCACAAGCTTGTGCACCCAGATGTTATAGCTTATTTGTATAAATCTCAGTTCTTTACCTCAGGAAACCTTGGGTTGGCTTTATTTAATGCATGTGAACATGCATTAACAGCATGAGCAAGCTCCTGCTCCAAGAGGCCATGTACTTTTGCTGCTTCACAGATCCTAGAAACACATTTAAAAAGGAGAATAATGTTTCTTAATTTCTTTAAATAATAATTCTTGCGTACACAACTTCATCAGATGAGAAAATACACAAGACTATGTTTCACAAAACACTTGGAAAATTATAGTCCTTTATAACAAAAAATTGAAATATAGCACCTCATAGAAATTATATCCATCACACAGATTAGTTATGATGCTACAAAATACTGAGATACATTTATTTGTCTTAGAACACTAATACTATACAAAGAAATGGACCAAAAAATGTTGGTCCTTTTAATTCAAGTAAACTACAGAGGAAAACTCTAGCACATTGCAATAACTTAACTGAAATTATCTTAAAAGGCCTTACACCTATTTCACAAGGCATATCCTTTAGATGTGACATGAAAATTGGCTGCAGTCATTTAAGATTATGGGAGATCCAATTGCAACTACAACCTCCAGACTATCTCTAGAACAGTAATGTTTTTAAGATGTCTTAGCTAAACTTTACCTTGGGTAATTGATAAACTAAATTATTTGTCTATGACTGCAGTATAAGGAGAGTATGTAGCCCTTCCTTTCTTATATTACTGGTGATTTTGATGCTAAAGATAATATTTATGATAAAATGAATAGCAGCTTTATAAAATGTTCTGATTTTTAAAAAAAGTTTTTATCTATCTCAGCCTATATGAGTGACTGAAATGTCCATCCTGCTGACTTCTAGAGTTGACTTCTAAAGGTTTTTTTCCACTAATTCCCAATTATATTTTTGCTTTGTCATGAAAAGAGAAGCTTTAATTTTTGCAAAGAAGTTTTACAGTTTTCCATTTCAGTTACTACTTCAGAAAGTTGGTTTTTACAAGAAAAAAAACAAAAAGCAACACAAAATCACATAAATTAAATGTTTTAAAATACATAGGAAAAGCACACAAAAAGAAGTTGAGCCTTAAGATAAAATTTTTAAATTAGAAAAAAACAATTGATATAGTGGCAACAAAACTTTAATCAAAAACCAGGGAAAATGTATTCTTCTAAGTCTCTGTATGAATTTGCATTAATGATTTAGCCTTGGTGTCTAGGTTGCCAATCCAACTTATTAATTTTACTGTACCTGGTAATAAGTTCTTCTGCAGCTTGTGAGCACAACTGGATCTGTGCAACTTCTTCTTCTGTAGCCAACTCAACAGCTTGCTGAGGGTACAAGGGAGATCGAATGACAGGTTTGCAGGAATCATACTTCTGTTTGTCCTCCCAAGACTTCAGGGTGTTTTCAAAGGCCTAATCAAGATGAAATATACATTCAATTGACAGCACTTGGGAGTATTCTTACTCATTAAAAACTTTAATTTTACATTTTACATAAATTTAAATTACATATTATTTTAGTTAAAATTGACTTAACGAATAAACAGGTGCTTGATTTAATTTTATATAAATAACACTACCTGATTAAATAATAATTTTACATCTAAAGTATTTAAAACTTAGTACAGCAAGTAAGCCACTTCTGAAAACTTGTTCTCTGTCTCCTCCTCATAGTCTTCAAAATGTGTCTTCCAAACCAATAAGAACACTAAGACAGTAATAATGGTTGGACTCAATGACCTCAGAGGTGTTTTTCAACCTAAATAATTTTAGAATTTCATGATTCTCTAACACAAGCACCTTTTGTGTGGATATCATGATAGAAATTCAAATGTTATTCTGATACAGAATTCAAATATTAAAAATGGTGAAGAAAAAAACAAATTTACTAAAATAGAGTTCAAATTCCATCTGAACTCCACCCTAAATAGGATCCAGCTAGTGGATGGAGAACTGAGGGGCAGTTGTACCTTTCACACAATTATCCTAGACAAGCATGAACTCTCCAGTGGTTTTGTGACTAGGCTGTACTTGTGTCTCTTCTCTCTGAGACTGGCTCATGAGTGAGAGGGAGGACGGGTAGGACAGAGAGAGAAATCTGCAGAAAGTTGTTCTGGAAAATGGACAGTATAGAACTTTGCTATTTATGCAAGTGTGCTACAATTTCCAGTACGTGACTGATATAACACACCTAGAGAAAAAGAAAGAAGCAGTAGAAGGGGAGGGAGGGAGGAATAGATAAAATGTTGACCATTCGTACTATATATTAGTAAGAATATAGGATTAGCACTAATAAAACAAATGAAAGTTAACAAAACTTTGCCACTCATACAAAAAATTAATTCTCTATCCGACTCATTATAGAAATTATATCACTGTAAGTAACTGTATCAATTACGTAAATAGTTATAAAATATTTTTATAAGTACTGTATTGTTCACGTTATAACTGAAACAAATTATTACAGAAACCAGTGTTAGCAATGGCAGCTCTTTCTGCAACGTACTCTGTCTCGTGTTAGCATCTGAGCTCTGTTTTTATGTATGATCTTAATAACTCCCGGGGGCTGGATCCATGCCTCTCCATCGACTTGCACTGGAACCCCTTCATCACCAAGTATGGTGATCTTTACTGACCGACACTGGAAAAGAACAAAAAGAACAAACACGTTATTTCACAGGGCAATAAATACCAGTGAGACTGACAGGCCATCTGTAATCTGTTGATTATGAGGAGCTGTGGCTTCTCTCCAGAGCTGTCTCAGGAATTAAGCTCTCCTATACTTCATTCATCATTGAAGACAATTTGTTACCCGCTAAAAGCAAAACAATGTCAGTGCTTTATTAATGTATAGGGTGGTGGTCGTCGAGAGTCCCACTACTTGCCAGAATCCCAAACTGCTGCCAACCATCCTGCATGCTTGCAAGTAAGCAACAAACCTGAGCTATCCTGTGGTGCTGCAGTTTGATGACTCTGGACACTGCCATCTGCATGCTTCCAAATACAGCAACAACCTCCAAGATTTTATCATCAAATGATGGAGCTCCAAATATCTGTGAGGAAAAGAAAGTATTCCATTTTTGATTGCAAATCCAGTGCTTAGATTGCTATGAAACACAGATTCATTTACAGATTTGTTTTCAACATTTAAATGCTCTAAATTCTTTACTGTAGAATAACTATACCGTTTCTCCAGTCATAGGAGTAAGATACCACAGACAAGAGGCAAATATCATTCAAAACAGCAATGCTGATACCATTTGAAATATCTGGATGACAAGGCATATCCTTATATAGGAAAGATGGCATGTTTCAGAACACAGATTAAAAATGTTTTTCAAGGTAAGATGAAAGGCCAATTAAAATCTCTTATTGGGTAATGTACTCAATACCTAAGAGGTATCTTGAAGGTGGGAGAAGGTAAGAGAAATGAATGCTTTCCTTTTCTTTTCAGAAGTGCTTATCTTTATATTCTGAATTCTCTGGAAACGAACATCTGAGTCCGTGCACTGGTTTGTTTAACAGAGCTTTGACACTGAAGACAATCTTGTTTGTGCTGTCTATAATTATTCACTGTAAACAAGAAAACGACTTCTGTATGGAACAGAGGTCCTCCTGTGCAGCCGAGGTGCTGAATTTCCACAGGCTCTCACAAAGCACAGGAAGTCTCACCACCTGCTGTGCTGCTGGGCAATGCAGCCTCAGGGCACATCTTGGGCTGGACTGCAGCTGGGTCTCCCAGGTGCTACCATGCTAAGGTCACTTGGAGCTTGGCCATTTCATCTTGATATGCAATAGGGAGCAATGAGAGAGAAAAACCAGCAGGAGGAATCACTCCAGTAAGAGTTTAATAGGTAGGGAGATCACCCTGTGAGCAGTACTTGGGCTTCCTCAGTTGGCACCTTAGGCAGAGTAAGCTGTATCAGTAACACCTGAGACCAGAGTGGAGAAAATCACAGTTTCTCCATTTGATTTTTTTTCCAGTTTCCATGGATTTTTTTTCCATTTTTCACATATGAACATCTTGAAAAGAACCAAGATGGTGATTCTGCTGTTCCGTGATAAAAAGTGTGGAGAGCTCCTGATCCAGTAACTGACATTTACAGGGCTAGTTCTGGCCTGTGCTAAGAAAAAGTAGTTGTAACATTTCAATTATTTTGTGTTGCCATTTCAGCAAAAGGACAGGAAAAACTCAACCAAGTCTTCTGCTGTGTCTCTCCACCAGTAATATCTATACTGAAAACCAATATCTTTTTTCTCTTTTTTTTTTCTTTTAAAGGCAAACCAATCTGTGTGGATCAGCATTCAAACTGACTCCTTTCCTGTTGCAGGTCAGGTTTCCAGCCTGTCTTCTGGACGCCAAAATTACATGCCGTGCTCCAGCCAGTCAGGGTGCAGATGCCCTGCTTGCCTCACTGCTAATGTTTCAGCAATAATCAGAGCTGTCAAGGCAACATCTTTCATTTGTCCAGACAAGCAGAACCAGCAGCACTTCAGACCACCACCACCACCACCACCACCACCTCTTGATGAAGAGTCATTCAAGACTGCACTAAAGCAATGAATTATGCTCCTAACTTTGGTCAGAACAAACATGTCACTCTGCTGGCACATCTGCTCACTAGAAGACTAATAATATCAGTAAAACTGCACCAGGACACACACATTTGCTGTATACCAGTATGAAAGCTGGGGCAAATCTTCTCTCTCACTGAAGCAGTCCAGGGAGAAAATAACCCTCCTGAACAGGGGCTGAGTAGATGTTAGAGCAGCTTTCAAGTTCTGACTATGAACATGGACTATATATAAAAGCTTTAGATATCCATTGCCAAATATAAACAGAATTTCCATCCTCTGACATATACCAAAATAAGAAAAGGACACTACAACATGTCTAAATTTCTTTTTTCACTTTTACATATGTGTATATATACACACACATATATAAAACTTATATATATACACATATGTATTATATAATATAAACATGAAATTATATATAATAGATGTTATATTAAATTACATATGTTATATATAGGTATGTTTGTATGTATGCATTAAAAAACGAAAGGATAAAAACTCACAAGAAACATAAAACTTTTTGGCAAAAGAGTCCTGGATTTTCTACATCAAAATCACAAGCCAGTTTGCAAGTACAGTTTTAGGTGATTCAGACATCACACACTAAATCAGGACATGCAGATTAGGATAATCTGCTAGTAATTACAGTTGGTGAGCTGTGAGTGAAGTGGGTAGGGGCAGTAACACTGTTCCAGGTTTTAAGGCATGTAGGGATCCATGTGGTGAAATGTTTCTTAGGAGTTGAATGAAAGAAGGGGAAAAAGTTACCTTAAAGTATTTTAAAAGTTCATTTAAAATAATATTCAAAAACCAGTTTACTACCCCTACTAAATTATCAGTCACTAAATGCATCAGTATTCACTTTCTGAATCACCATCCCCCACAGCAAAGCTGTTTGAAGAACAGGAGGAAAATGAAGGTAAAATCTTTGACTGATTATCCTGTCTACCTTGCTGCTTGTCAGACTATAGCAAACTGAAGAATCTATGCTTTGAGAAACTTTATTTACAGGCATCTGTAAAACAATATAGAGAGAAATTACTTGTGCCTCTCTTTATAAAATTAATTTCTAAAAATACTCATAGAGCTATTTAAAAACCAAAATTATTATGCTTTATTATGAACATTTTGCTGGAACAGACATGAGAGAAGACAATGGACAGTAGAAAATCATGTTTTCAATTAAAAAACCAACACGACAATACAGTTTGAACTGAAACTCCTCCTCAAATAAGAGTTGTTATCCAAACTATATGCTACTACTATTAAAATCAAGTGAGAAGAGCAGTTCATTATATTTATTGCTGGTTTTGCCCAGAAGGTTAAGTCTCTTTAATGCTACTTACATCATCTTCTTTGGTTCCACCCCAGAAATTAGTCCCACCAGCATAGCTGGGAATGTTTAGCACAGCTATGCCCTGCAGGCTTGGAAGGGGGATGTACTGTCCATCACACTGTAAGGGATAAAAGCTCCTTCAGTACATAAATAATACAATAAAAGTAATCAGTAAAGAGTAATTTTTAGCACATGAAGCTTCAGAGCTGGCAGGGGAGGACAGAGTCATTAAGAAGTCTGGTACAAGACGACTGCCTCCATGCAATGAAGAACCTCTAAAACAAACCCCTTCTTTCCAATATTAGCACTGACTTTTGCAGAGGTGAAAAATATGTAGATCTATATGCTGTAGTATCTACAGCAGTGGTGTTCCATGAGTCTTGAAAGAAACATTTTCACATCCCTTATGAAATTTCTCATGCACTTTGACCATATGTTGAGGACTCTCTGTGTGTGGAGACACGAGGCTTGACTCCATTTCAGAAGGCTGATTTATTATGTTAAATATTATATTAAAATACTACATTAAGACTATACTAAAAGAACAGAGAGATCAGAAGGCTACAACAAGAACAGAATAGAATAGAATAGAATTAACAAAATCCTGTGACTGCTAACAGCCTTGGCACAGGTGGCTGTGATTGGTCGTCAATGGAAAACAATCCACATGGACCAATCATGGATGCACCTGTTGCATTCCACAGCAGCAGATAGTAATTGTTTACATTTCTCTCCTGAGGCTCCTCAGCTTCTCAGGAGAGGAAAAATCCCAGCAAAGGATTTTTCATAATATCATGGCTACAACCATAGTCTGTCCACCAAAGATTAAAAATCTTTTTGCAGTAAGAAAACAAATCTCCTTGAATGCACACAGTAAGATTGCCAAGGACATTACAAAAAGATTCATTTATACATTTGGGAACTAGTTTTCCATCCTATACCAGCATTTCCAAAATTGCAATTGTGACTTTTTATTTAGTCAAATCTATTTAAGCCAGGGGCAGGGGGGGTGGGTGTCAAGAATATCCAAGAATATTTCTGGCATAGCCACAAACATGTGGTTAACTGTAAGCGTTTGCATGTATTGTTGACTTCCTGTAAAAATAACTTCACTCTCCTCCCGAAAGCGCAGACAAATCTAGGACTGACCCCACAGGTGCCACCGTGGCTGTAGATGTTGATTTTGCAGGTAAGAGATCACTCTTATTTCTGACCATCCAGTCCTTCCTTCTTACTGCTTTATCTCCCAAAACAGATAAGAAACTCCATGTCCTGCTCAACACGATCACGGGATGGCATCAATCTCACTTTTGGCCAAGAGTAAGTTTACAGACATCAGTGAAATCACTCTTGACTTACAGCAGTACAACTGCCTGCAGGGGGAAGCCCAATGATCTCAAATCATTCCACTGGGAGTCAAAAGTGCAGTCCTGCAGCAGTGCCACAGGCATGGAATTGAAGCAAGATATACCCAGGTGTCACTTTATGGACCATGAAGTTGCCGGTCAAGCTGCCTTTAATGAAGATTGCTAGATGACTGCACACTACCAGTCCACAGAAGGATCTTAAAATTATACAAATTAACATCTAAAGAAATAAGGACAAAATCTGTAGCATCTTTATCAGGAGGGGAAAGAGATGCAAATTATTTCCAGAATGTGCTTAGTGCTCTCTTTTTGTGATTTAATCTTAGCAACAAGACAGAATGTAACATTTTAATCAAGATGTGTCAGTATCCAAAATATGGTGTGATATTAATAGATGCTGCACAGCCATTTGTATTACAGTAGAAGTCTGCCTCTAGTGCCTGAATATGCAGACATAATATATCCAATAATACACAAGACAACAGTAAATGTGAAATTTTTACTTGCTGACTTACTTACAGGAATATTTAAAAAATTATGGAAAGGTCAGCAGTATTATTGAATCTTATTTGAATCCAGTTCAAAAGATCCTTAAATTAGAATTCTATCTGCAGTATACATAACGTTCTCTCCTGGCATTATATTTGCTAACTACTGCATAATTCCTTGATAATTACTCAATCTTTAGCTAACAGCAATCTGCCACTACCAGACAAAATCCTTCTAAATCTCAGAGTGAGAAAGAGCTCCAATAACCTAAAATTATTTTTTCAACTTAAAAAGTTACCCTCATATAAATATCATAAAGTTCCATATGAAATAGTTAGCATGAAATAAAAAGAGAAATTATATATGTTCTCTGTCAAAATCCACCTCAGATATTCTTTGGGTGAAAAGAACAGTAAACATCCTGTAGTCTTTTTCTGCATTTGGGAATCATTTCTATCTCCTTTAAGTTTCCAGTACCATGTGGAAGACTTAATATTAGAACTTAAAAGCCAAATGAGAACTATGTTTAGACATGGAATTTGTTGTTGCTTAGATAATATCTTGCTTTTTTAATGGGAATATTAGAGAAAGTCTCTTCTGCTGTAGCTGGGCTTCTTGAGATGCATATTCAGAATCTCCTCCCTTTTGTCAGGAATTTTTTACTATTTACATGCTCTTCCTACATGTGTAGCTCCCATATACTTTAAACTGAACCTGAGATCAAGACTCCTTATCTCTTCTCTTTATTTTATGGTCATTTCTGTGGTTGCCATTAAAACCTGGTCTGTCTTTTGATACAGTAAACATTAAGAAATATATCCTACCTACATACTTTATTCTCTTTTCTCAACCCAGTAATTACAAGAAACATAATATTGGGTATTTTGTGATCTTAAAGTACTGACATTTTACTCAAAAACGTGACTTGGAGGACCAACTTTTACATAGCACATCTTTACACAGTGCCTTTGAGGTCAGCTTGGGTTGATGTAAGAAGGATAACAGGTTTCAAAAATAAGCACTAATTCTTCACTACACATTGTGCCAGCAACTCTCTCCATAAATAAAATTTACCTCAAGTTGAACTTTTTGTTCTAAGTTCTTGTAAGTTCTCTGCAATAGCTCTTTTGTGCCAAGAACTCCATACCACATCATGTTTTTCGTCCGACTTCTGAAAGCAGGCAAAACAAGATTCACATATTGACATACACACAATATTGTGTCTTGTATTTGAAGAAAAAAATTAATGAATTCATATAAAGAGGTAAGAAAAAAAAAAGAATGGAAATATCCTGACTCTGTAACTGACAGAGTAATTATATTACCTGCATTTTTCAGGGTGCTCTTCTCGCTTGTTATTAAATTCTAGTGAAATTTTTGCATCTAACCCAATTCCAAAGTAGTTGTTCATGACACATTTTTCTGAATATCCCTCCCTGTTAGAGGAAAAGAGAAAATCAGGTGTACATTTGTACAGAACCTGGACATGCAAACATCTTTGACCAAAACTGTGATTGGTCACAGAACAGAATATGAACTAAGATACTTCAAGAGATCTTTCCTCTGAATCTCCCTAAGTAAACTGGTTTGGGCTGAAAAACCCAGCTCTGAAATATTACTGTCCTCCTCCTCCAGCTGAGCAAGGGATAAATGAGCAAATGTCTCACCTTATTTTCAGCTGCTGCAAAAAAATTTGCATGGCTCACAACTAACCCAGTACAATCCAGCTTGTTTTCCGACAATGAGGTCTACTGCCAAATGATGGCAAACAAGAACTTCATAATGCAAAAAAATAAGAGACTACAAAAATGTGAGAAGGATGCCCTTAGGGGAAGCAAAATAGTACATTTAGAAAAAAAATATTTCTTACAAGGAATCTGGATCCGGGTCAATAAACGGCGTAGCACCAAATGGATCGATGTTTGCTAGCAACATTTTGCTAATAATTGAACTTCCTGCAATGGAAGCAGCTAGACCAGCCCTTAAACCTGATTAAAAAAAGAAAAAAAATAAAAAAACAACAAAACAAAACAGAAAGAAAATAATAAAATAAAAAAATTGTATTTGATAAATAGACAAACATATAATATAAACCACATACTGAGAAACAAAATTCATTAAATCTGTACAGGGAAAGATTGTGATTCTATCTCAATTTTTACCAAAACTAATTATCTTATCAGGTCTCTGGTTCTCTTAAGCAGAAAGGCAGCTATGCTGCATTGTGGTGGCTCTCTCAGGTACCACCATGGAGAAAGAAAAAAACAAAGAAAATTTAGGGTTTCAGGCCAACACTCACTGGCTGGTATAGTAACCAGATGGGTGACCTAACATCCAAAAGACTGCTAGAGCTTTTCATTCAGTTCAATCTTCATCTCCTAACTGTCTATTATTTTTCTTTTGTCCTATCCTTTGGAAGCATACATAAGGAATATCCTTACAATTTTTACAACTGGCAGAGCCATAGTTTAACTTAATTTGTGAAAAGATCACAGCCTCAACATGCCTGCTTTGAATAATATCAATTTCACTCTACAAAATACTCTGTAATGCATGTAAACAAAGCAAAATACTAACAGCTTTTACTTGAATTTGCCTAAAGAACAAAAACATAAGCTTGGTTCCTCTGTGTTTTAGCTATACTAATAAAGTTAATTAAAACAGAGTTTTACTAGTGCTCTCTAGTATTAATTCCATTTGGAGCAGAACAGATAGTTTTTCATCTATCAATTGAATTTAGGTAAGAACAGATTTTTTTCTTCAGCTGTTTTACACGGCAGCTTTGTGTGGTTTCAGTTATCCATTTTCAGAGGATATCCACAGACAGTTCTTACTCAGAGGGTTGAGCTTTACAGAGCTTTGTCCCTCAGCCTCTTCATCCTAATCCATTGATTAGGATAAATGATAGAAGGATTTGGGTGGATGAAAAATTGGATGTGACCTGGCAATGTCAGCTTGTGGCCCACAAAGCTCAAATGTGTCCTGAGCTGCATCCAAAGCAGCGTAGCCAGCAGGGTGAGGGAGGGGATTCTGCCCCTCTGCTCTGCTCTGGTGAGACCCCACCTGCAGTGCTGCATCCAGCTCTGGGCTCCCCAACATAAGAAGGATGTGGACCTGCTGGAACAAGTCCACAGAGGGCCCTAAAGATGATCAGAGGGCTGGAGCACCTCTCCTATGAAGACAGGCTGAGAGAGCTGGGGATGTTCAGCCTGGAGAGGAGAAAGCTCCAGGGAGAATTTATTGTGCCCTTTCAAAATATAGAGCAGATTTATAAGAAAGATTGAGAGACTTTGCATCAGGGCCTGCAGTGACAGGAGAAAGGGCAGTGGTTTTAAACTCAAATAGGGTAGGTTTAGATTGGACAAAAGGAGGAAAATATTTGGGATGAGGGTAGTGAGACATGGGAAGAGGTTGCCCAGAGAAGCTGTACAAGCCACACCACTGAAAGTGTCCAAGGTCAGGCTGAATGCTTTTCTGAGCAGCCTGACCTAGTGAAAGATGTCAATGCCCATGACAGAGAGCTGCACTATCTTTGGAGGTTTCTTCCAACCCCAAACCACTCGGCAGTTCTATGATCCTGAATTTTACTTTTCACCCTTCAGAATCAAATGCCACACTTCTGCTAACTGTGCCAAAGGATCAGAAATATTCTACATTATTATGCATTTTCTCCTATACAGTACCACACAAAGATGTGTATGTCAGTTCAAACGAATTCAGGGCATGAAGTAAAAGTCATTATTTGACAGCAAGCTTACCTGGACAGATAATCCTCGTGTTAAGTACTGGGAGGTTTTCCTTGCTTGCTGCCAAAGCTGGAGCAGAGAAGGAACCTGTCTGAGAATGGATACCTCGGCTTGTACGTCTGTCAGGAGATCTTGGTGCAGTTTTAGCTGTGCAGAAAAAACAAAAGAACACTAATCAGACCTAATATGACATTACCAATATATAATTTTTACAGCCCTGATAATATATCAGAAGCGTTAATTTAATCTGTTACCACTCCATGACAAAAGTCCTTTCCCCCCATAACACAGTTTTTCTTCTAAATACAGTAAGAAAACTCAGAAACAGATCAAGTGACAAACACAAATTAGAATGAGCAAGTGTGCATGGCACTCCACATGATGCGTTCCCAACTTACACTTCAACCTACCAGCAAAAGTATTATATGTATTAAATGGAAATATATTCATAAAATGTATTATATCCACCTTAAAATGCAACAGCATTTAACACTGCAGTAAGTTTCTGATAAACATACTACTGAAATAATTAAATCTAAACTTAAATTTCATCTATGTTTACTTATAAATATACACATATTAGACAGTATGTTGTTATTTATAACAATTTTAATATAGGTAGTTCCATGGCCTGTAGGCTAGAATATCTATCTTATCAATACCTACACTATTTTCTTCAAGCAGCTGAAATGGGCCCGTGCCTGCATCAGATGCTGAAAAAATCAGAGAAAACTCTGACATCTTTATTTACAGCCAAACTGAAAACTGCAGGAAGGGAGAAAGTCATGTCCACCTTTGCCTTTTGCATCTAGAGAGATTGTGGGGGGCATCAGTTTTCCATCATCTTTTTCCACAGACAAACTCAGAAAACAAACAAACCAGCAACTTCCCAAATAATTAACTTATTTACTGAAATTCTTTGGAAGTTAGATCAGTGAAACCTTGACAGATATCAATGTTTAGCAGCTATTAGTAACAAAGGCTCAGGAAAAGGAAAGGGAAGAAAATGAAAGTGAAAGAGAAGATATTCACAAAGAGTAACTGGAAGCTCAGTGAAGCCAGTTATGCTTTGGCTGCCTCTGGAGGCAACGAAGAAGGATCGGCTTTGCAGAGGGCTGACCTCGGGTGCTGTCATTTACTTTCCTGGCAGAACTGGTTTCATGCAGCCTCGGAGAGGTATGCCAGTGCCTGCTTCAGCCTGCGGAAATCAATCTTTGTGCAATTCAGCCCTATCAGACATACCCAGAAATCGGTGCCCCAAGGAAAAAAGTTTGGGTATTACCAAATGCTTTATTATAGCATCTCCATGTGCATGTAGAAAACTCGCACAACAGGTGGTCACACACAGACACTTCTTGGCTATCTCTGCTCCAAATTATCTCACATGTTAAAATTACTTCAGCTTAGCACAACACCAAACTTCACCATCTGAAGAAGCTCAGAACAAAAAAATGAAATAATTTCAAAATAATGTGATTTTTCCTCTCAAAATATGAAAACTAATCCAGCAAAAATAGAATTAGTAAGACTAGCAGGAAGACAAGCAGGGAAACAGCCCCAGGAATGTGGTGGGAAGCAGAGAATGCATCCTTTTCAGTGGCAGGAGTGATACAAATCAGGTCACGTCAATCATAACTTCACCTGAGAGTAATGGGTGTACTGTACGAAGACACTAATGGAAAGAAAATATTGAGTGGGAAAATCTAGAGACAAAAGGATTAACTAGAACAAGGGTTTAGACATTGTGTTCACATCACTTCAGGCCAGGATTTGCCCATTCACGGGGATTTTTTTAAGTGATGATAATCTAACATAGAACTGTAAGTGGAATGGCAGATTCTTTACTTCCTTGTATCCCTAAGTAAGATGACACATCTTTCTGAATGACTTCCTGAAGTCAAACAGAAATTATTACACACAGGACAAGTGGGAAAAGTGGGTAAGTTTTTCTGAATTGTTTTATATGACTAAATGGACTAAAAGTGGACTAAAAGCCATCTCCTTCTGCCTTTAACACCTGCATAACAGCCACAGCAGCTATCACAAAATGCTACAACATTGCATGGTAGCAATACAACACATTGATTTGTATCGATGCATGACAAAACACTGTATTAATGTCAAAAAATAAAAAGGAATAAAAACGGCAAGTGATATCTAACAAGTCATTAAATACTTAGATGAAGGTATTAACATACGGAAAAACATTATCTTCATCAAATGACCAGGAAGATCCTTGGAGGGTAAAATACAATACTCAGAACAAAATTAACATTCATTTTTCATAATACTACTGAAAAATTCACAACACTGTTCACACAGTCTGTTCTCTCTGCACTTGCAAACAAGGCAGTTGTACTAAATAGGAAAATCAGCAGAGCAGCTGCTCTTTATTTGACAGATAAGACTCATGGGAATAACTGCAATAAAGAAAAGCTTTTGCTGTGAATGCTCTGATAAAAACAACACAGCCCTAATGAGTAAAACTGATGTTTCAGCGCAGATAATTGAATTCATGTTCCATGCTTTGTCCCTAACATCTATCGTCCAGTGACAGCATTAATACAAACTATTCCACATGCAGAAATTATATCATCAAGATACAAGGAGTTCAATAAATTTCTAGACCTGAATATCTTTATTATACAGTTATGGCAGTAGGATTGGGTCATCTGTAGGGCCAGCATCCTCTATGAGCTACTATTGAAAAGGGACAACCAAAAGGCAGTGATTCCCATAACCAAGAGCAAATAAAAGTGACCAGTGAAGAGACAATCACTGGAGAAAGCCTGATGTGTTTCTGGAGAAAACATGAGATGCTGGGCCAACAGAAGCCCCAACAGCCCAATGTCTCATTTCCACAGTAGGAGCTACAGACACAGGCAACAGCTTCAGAGCAGAGCCCTGTGAGGACAACTTTAGAGGATTTTAGTGTGGGTTAGGGTGAAAAAAAGGAGATGCAAATCCCAAAATACTTCTCTCATTTTGCCCCAGAAAATTGCTCACCAAGTATCTAGAGGATGGGCTTTGATGCCTACCAGCTACCAGTGTTTCTCTATGACTCACAGATCATCTTGTGGCCTCACCATCAGGGCAGCACTGTCCATTTTGATAATATGGAAAAGACTGAAATTTCCACTGCTAAGATGCAACTTTCCTAAAATTTCTACGTAGCTTGAGAATCTCAGTCTACAGCTGAGATATGCTATTGCCACCATCACCTAGGCTCTAGTACTTGCTCAGGTTCATGTAGGAAGATGAGTGTAAACACTGGATTAAATTCAGGCACTTATATTCCCAACAAGTGCCTTCTCAGCTTTGTGAATACATTCCAAAAGACTGTTCATCTATTATTTCCCAAATTTTTCACTTACCTTTTATTTATTCAAGTCTATTAGAATCTGTGAGTAGTTTCCAAACAGGATGCTAGTATTTTTAATTATGCAACCAATTATGCTCCTAATACAACTATAAGGAGATGGAATATTTATATTTTATTCCTGATTTACTCACTTGATGGAGACTCAAGTTCCTTTGTATCTTCCTCTTTTTCCTCTTCTTTGGATTCATCCAATTCTTTGCTGTATTCTACTGGAGACTGGTTCACTTGTTCTTCACTATGAGCATTCTGCTCATCCACAACTGTTATTAAGAGAAAAGACAAAGACTCAAGGATTCTAAAGAAAAACTACATACACTGAAATAAGCACTTTTTTTTTGGTAGCTTTAGTTTTAAAATATCAACAAAAGAGTTCCATCATTAATTCAGCGAAAGAGTCAGTCAATTCTTTACCAGCTGATCAAGATTTGCGGTCAGAAATTTTCATTTTGTGGAGGCTAATATTTAAAGGAATGCACTTTTATATGTGCACACACATACATACAGATGTAGTCACACCTGCAGAGTCATCAACATTCAAACAAGCTGCATTTCTTTTCCTTGCAGCTTGTAATAAGCACATAATTTTATCTATGTAAGAATATAGAAATCAAATTTTATAATGAAAACTTATTCCAGTTAGACAAAGAAGCAAACAAACATCATTATCCTATCCTATTCTACCAGTCTGGATCAAAATGTTGCTGATGTGCACCTTTTTCTGCTTGTTCAATGATCTGCCTCACAGCCTTCTTCAAGCTGTTTGCTCGGAGCATTAACTGTTGCCTGGGTTTAAAGAGCTTCTGGGAAGACTTTGAGACACACTCTGCTAATTGCTCTTTACTTTCAGACAAGGATTCTTCACTTGAGAACTCCTCTGGTTCTTCTTCCACGATGGGGGGAGCAATGCCTGGGAGAATGGGAGCAGCCTGGGCTTCTGTGTGAAGAGCCTGGAGCAATAGGTCCAGCTTTTCATTTAACTCTGAGCACTAAGACAAAGTGGGAAAACACACACATTAAAAAAAAAAAAAAAATTCAACAGTGAACATGTGAATATATTCAGGAAATATGGTACCAGATTATATATGAAACTGCAGGTGTCTTTAGTGTCTATGTAATTTCTTAGGTAAAATACAAAGAGGTTCAACGTTTCAGAATATCAGATTATGAGTAGGTCTGCATGGGTTTTTTGCAGACGCTGTGACACTAAACCAGACTAGATCAATTATATTACAAAGCCCTCCACTTAGATTCAAATAATACTCCATGCTTAACTCAGCCTGACCCATAACTGTATGGATTGCATCCTACTCCTCTCCTAACGACTTGCATCACAGAAAACCACCAGAGGTTTGCCCACACATGGTTTTTCAGTGCCCCAATTTTGAGAGGTATCTATCAGCTGTTAGACTGAGACACATGGGGGTTTTTCTGCAATACAGCTGTATATTTAAGCAAGTGAGTTGTCACAGAGCAAGTGGCTCAAGCCAGACTCAGACACTGTCAAATGCCTCTCCCCAACACTAAGTAATTATTCTCTCTAGGTACACAGGAAAAGAAAGGATTTTCTGCACCTAAGAGAAAGAAAACACTCTCTGGCCTTGGAACAGTTAAAAAGAAAAACTAATTTTCTAAAATGTGCACCGGATGGAAATGTGAACCACAAATTGCCACTTAGCAAGTACATTTTCTGACTCTGGGATTGCCAAGGATTTTGTTTTCTTCTTTTCTTTTCAGCTCATGTAAATTTTGTGTCTCATACCAAATCCTTCTGTTGTTTTCTTTCCCAATGTTTTTGCAACATGATCTCTGTATTTTGCAGCTTAAACCACTATTTTTAACATTGTGGTCTGTCTCCCCTTCATTCTTGCAGCATACTCTTCATTATCCTATTGTTTTCCTGTAGCTAACTTAATCCCTAGAAGTATAACTAATGCAAAAAGAAATCCTTTTATCTCTATGTATGCTACCATGAACTTTATCCTTTATGAAGAAAGAAAGTGTAAATAGTTTAAAGAAATCTCGGAGTTTAAATATGCTTTGGAAATAATTAAGTCTATGCAATAAGAAAAGAAGAATTTTGAACTCACTGGTCAAAATGAAAGCCAAGATGGGCATTCTAGGGCAATGTGAAAATTAAATATCCATGAGCTATGAACTTTAAGAACCCAACAACTTTAAAACTGAATGTAGTCATAATCTTACTTTAATGGCCATGGCATCAGCTTCCTCTGCATTTTCCATTGGTTTTTCGTAAGTCTTCCCTATTTTGGCAACAAAGTCCTTTACAGTTTCACATAATATTCTTCAGGTAAAAAAAAAAAAAAGGAGAGGGAAGAAATCAAATGAAATTAAATATATATGTTTTGAATATTAAATTCTTATGGCAATTTATTATATGTACACTGCTATGAATTATTCTTATTGGAAATTGAACTCCATGATCATACTTGTAAATCAGATGACACTCTTTTCCATAGCTTCCAAAATTAAACTGATAAGCTTTAAAACAAAAACTCTTTCACTTAAGCCTTGGCATACTTTGTATCTCAGCCTCTTATCTGAAATAAACATAACTGATTTTATCCACTCCCTTGCTTGTACACCTTCCCTAGGAGTGGACTTTGCAAACTTGCATTCCCTTTGGTAACTTCAAACACAGTCATGCAAATTCATGTGAAAAGTTGGAGCTTAAAAACCATGGAGAAAATCTACTGCTTTAAGGAAGCACTTCTTAGATGAAAGCATATGGCCACACACATCCCATTGCACAGCTGATGCTTTTGAACCATATCTGTGCAAACTACAGTAGCTGCAATGAATTTTCACTGTGTAAATCAGGAAAATACTTGGTTCTTGTTACCTGCACTCAGAGAGACAGCAATCTTACTAATGAAGTGAGGATAATTGCTTAGTACTGTTCATTTAGTTGACATTTTTCTGACAAATTAAACAGATTTAACTAAGTACAGAACCAATTTAGAATCTGGAGTTAATAATATCCTGCAGTTTAATATTCTACATGTGCTATGTATAGGATTAGAAATGAAATTTTGTTAACTTGCTTTTATGAGGCAAAAAAAGATGTGATGATATTCAGATGTATTTTTAAAAATTCTATGACTGGTCTTTTGCATATTGCAAAACATAAGATTTTTTTCATAGAGAAGGCATACACAGAACAGTTCTGATTTCAGATGATGTCTATGATTTGCCAAATTTCTCTCATTTCAAAATGTTTCAGTTTGGGGAAAAAATCCCATTAATGTCCTAGATCAGTATTGATTGAAGTGATATAGACAGGGCTACAACAAAGCTACCTAAGCTAAAGCTCTGCTTCACACTGGTGAAATCGTTTGTCCTCTAAACATATGCTTTACAAAAAATAGCCAGAAGAAATGCAGTGTGAAATAGATCACATCTATGCATTAGTAACAGTAAGTTTTTTTTATTTAAGCCATGCACCGATTTGGAATGATTTAACAGCATTTTATATAAATATTGTGTGATTATTTTTTAAATTTAGTATTAAGCCATCTATTACAACTGTACCATCTAAAAATTTTGCAGAAAAGAACATCCACTCTAAAAGATATAAATCAAGATATATTAAGCCAAGCCAGTTGGCCATCCGTAAGAAAATCAAGCTTAGACAGAATGCTATTATGGTGATGATGTTACACAAGAAATTTATCCCCCACATCGTAAATAAAATTGATTGACTCACTTGGCAGATGATATGACAACTGAATGCTGATCAGAATTGAGAATTTTTGCAAGATGAGCAGCAACTGAATCCTCATAAGCAGATATCTGAAAATAGAGAGAAAAGAGACTTCAATTTCCACACATTCCAGCAGTTTAACACCAAGTAGTGAGTTTAAACCCCTCAAAAATAGCAGGATTTTTATTTCAGATCTAATATAAGGCCAAGTGTTTGGCAATGAAGTTTTTACATTCATTTTATGTGTATTTTATGTATCAGATGTTTAATATTCAAAGTTAGACTGCATGAGAACTTGATCTACAGTTCTTTTCCTCCTGTAAAGAAAACAGTAAGTTATTTCTAGGCTAAAATCAGTCTGTGAGCTAGAAAAGAATCTACATACTCCGATTTATAACAACCTACATTATTATAATCTAGTACCTTTTACTTCTAAAATAAGCAAAGCTTTCCTTAAACAAATTGCTCAATAAGAACAAGTCTAAAGTTTGCAGTTGTGATCTGGAATTTTCACTTTACTGTCAGGTGAGCTCTCACTTCCCAAGAACCACAACTGACAAAGACTGCCAAACTGGTATAATGTTATCAAAACCAATCTTCAAGGAGCAAACCATTTAGGGCTTAGTCTTTACAAGAACATGAAAAATTACAAATTAGAAAATACTCAGGAAAATATTTGGACTGGATCAAAAATGTATCCTCACACACTATATCCTATCTCAAAATAGCTCTGGATCCAGACCTCAATTTTAAAAGAAAATTTTAACAAAATTCCAAATCCAAAGCTAAAAATAAATGCAGTTCTGACAGCTCCATTTAAGAATCTCTTGAAATCTCTCAGCATGCTTTTGTCTTTGATTTTGAGCAGGCAGATATACCACTTCAGTTTTTTCTCCTAAAACCTTCATCGTAGGACTCTGACATTGAATCAGCTTACATTTCAAAGGAGAAAACAAAACATAAACATCTGATCCATAATAATGAACTACTATTTTTCAAACACCAGTACAAGATTTCGGGAAACCAAGTGGAATTAGTTTCCTGAAACTGCAGGAGAAAGGAAAGGGAAAAAGAAAAGAATCATATATGAACTTCCATTTGCTTTTCAAACTGTGGCATAATCCAACATCTACTATAAGGTTAATTATTATTTTTTTTCTGAAAAAGCCTAAGTCAGTAAGCAATGCAAAAAATCCTATTAAAATAGAGATTGAACAGGGTACTCAAAAGCAAATGGTTTTGTCCAACTCAAGTAATGACAGGTAATATAGCCTACAGAATACATTTGCTAAAAAGGAAGTTTTATATGAGCAAGCAGCTCCTTCCATTTTCAGAAGGGGCTAAAAAAAAGTGTCAAAGCCAGAAATAACTAGAACAAAATGATGATGAAGACACACTTGAAAATTTTAACTTTCTTGAAAAATTAGAGGCGATAAAGCCTTGATCTGCATTGCTGACACCAAAAGCAGAGCAGTATGCAAAGCAACCTCCTTAAAATCCCTGCCTTTTTGCATCTCTACATCCAGCAATCCATCAAAGGTTATAACCTCCTTGCCAATTAAAAGAGCCTGAATTATTAAATTGTTCAAGAGACTGCTGATTAATTATGGCTTCTGAAGTACTTTTGAGTTACATTGATATGCATTAACTTTCTTGGGAATATATTATTTTTTCATTTTCAGTCAGACTTTTCATGCCAATTAATTTGATTAAAGCATCTCCTCTCAAAATTGAAACCTCATCAGCTAGTACAAGCACAAATCTAGTCTGGAACACAGGCTAAGTTTTTCTTTGATGATACTTAGGATTTTGAGCTCTTTCAATGAACAAAGAGAAAGTTGTGATATCACCTGATCAAACTCAAGCTGCAAAACACTTCTGTCTTTCTTTAGGAATAAAACCCTTGCCTCCAAAATGCTGGGGGCTTTTTCTCAATGCATAATCCAAAATTACCATAGCAGACTTTTTTTTTTTAATATATTTTAAACATGTATTTTAAATATTTATATATAGTATCACAGTATATACATTGATGTACAGTAACATAGCACTAAATTATACTATTATATACAAAAATATATATAAAAATATACTCATATATAAGAATATATATATATATAGAGTATTATAATATTACATAATAATATGACACTAGATTACATTCTTGTTTGACATGCTATATAAATATACTTTTTAATACATATTAAAATATACATATATATTCAGGAAGAAATTTTTCAGACAGCTTTGCTGGAAACTCCTTAGGTAAATAATATAGAACTGGAAACCTTACTTACTTGAGATACACAGCAAGAAAAGGCCTTAATTCAGTTCATTTAGCAGATCACAAAACATCTATTTTTCACACAAATGCTTTAATTATGTCTATTGCCATCCCAGAAGCTCCAAGTTAAGTACATGAAACAACAAAACAAAAGTTAAAGTGCACCTGGCACTCCTCTGACTCTTCTGCAGTCACAGGAAGAATAGAAGGCTTTGATGGTAATTTCAGTTCATATGACATTATACTCCACCTGAAAGAAACGTAAGTTTCCAGACTGTTAGTATTACACTCTTTCCACTTTATTAACAAAAAGAAAATTCAATGTCACACCACAGAATAGCTATGTAAAAAAACAAAGCATCTTAATTTGTAGTTGTAAACTACATGGGTGAAATAATTAGAGGGATTAAAGAGAGATTAAATTAGAGATTAAAGGTAATAATTTGTTTTATTACTCAGATTATTTTTTAGTGATTTGATTGTCAGTCTCATATATGAAAAATTCATGGGACATTCAATACAGGGAATAAAGATTTTCTGGAAAAAAAACACATTATAAAAGAATTTGTGCAAACATACTGCAGAAGGCAAAGGAAACTAGACATCTTCCTAAAGAAAAATCTTTAAGGTGACATTGGCTTTCCATCTCAACTAGAGGAGGCAGGCATGAAAACAAAGCAAATGATGAAGTGTCTTCCTTGATGTATATATATATATTTTTTGTGTGATACAGGACAGCACTTGACAACACAGATAGTATGAAAGCACTAACAACATCCTTCAAAGCCTGCTGAAAAGAGCAAGTAATCACTGCAGATGGGTCTTGGGAGCAAGTCTACTGAAATTAGACCAAAAAATGAAACAGAGCATTTTTTTACTACAGAAAAAGGAAAATTTGATTTAATTTACAAGTTTTTCAGAATGTGAGGATCAGCAACAAGCATTTCTCTACATACTTTGCTGTAAAGCAATCAAGTAGTCTGCAGAAAAGCTTAAAATAAAAAAAGGTTTTTTTCTCTATTTCATAAAAATAACCTAAAGTAAAATCCCTTATGATGACATTCAAGTGTTTGCCACTAGAGCAAGAAAAGAAACACTCAAGAGAGACAGGAATAGTGTAAGAAATACTCCTCTCAAAAGCAGTGCTAGACTTCCATTGGAACGACATGACCACTGTCATCTATGATTTTTTTTTAAATGGGGTTGCTGCCTTCCTTTATGGATGAAAATTCCATGAAACAAGGAATGGGAAGATCTCATTTTTTTTACTAAGAAACTGCCTCAAACAGAAATATTAGTCGTGGATCCAATTAGCCCAGCATCTTGTCAACAGCTGATGCCTCAGGAAAGTGTGAAAGCACACAAGGTGAGCTTTCCCCACATCCAAGGACAGAGAGCTCAGGTGTTTTCTAAATAAAGATGCTACCATTAATGGTGTTTAATAAGCAGGCATGGATCCATAAAATTGCTGAAATCAGTTTTGAATCTACACAATTTCATAATGCTCACAACTTCTTATAACAGGCAGTTTTGCAGCTCCCTCAGCCATGCAATAAGGTGTCAACTTTTGAACATGTTTGGACAGCACACTTCCCAGTTCCATCAACCACTCATCCCTCTGACGCTTTAGTTTAAAAAGCAGGCTAAAGAGCTGTATCCATCATAACTGCAGCTTCCTTCATGATTAAGACCTCCACTCAAAAAACAAACCCCACTGAACACCAAGTCTCCAAGATGGATTTTAGGCCATCAGAAACCCAAATAAATACAATTTAAATCTCACAGTAAGTGATGCATATGCACATTTAGGTTTACCTGTCTAACATTTTCGTGCTGGCTCGTTCTAGTTTTTCCAAAATCTGAGGAAGTTGTGTATCATCATCACAGGATCCTCCCCAGCCAAGGACACGAGCAAGGTCATTTCCAGTACCAAGGGGTAACACTCCTAACTGACACTGAAACACAACACAGGAACAAATCTACTATTGAAAACTAGAAAGAAAATACAAGTGTTTACAAATGCTTGTTATTTCAATCAACAAATGTTAATTTCATAGCTGATGTCTAAAGCCTGTAAATCAACTTGTATTATTCTGCTACAACTTGTCCTTGAAAACTTTAATTAAACAGTAACTATTAAGTTTTCCTCATACACAGAAATGCAACAAAGAACCAAGTCAAGGAAAAGGTAAGCACACAAAATTAAGCCTAGTCAGTCTAGGCAAGGAAAGTAAATATGCACACTTGCCTGCTTGTGCAAGCTGAGCTTATCAATTTCTGACAAGACCCAACCCACGCTTCCATCGCCACCACATACAAGAATCCTGAAGTTGTCAAACTTCTGAAATAACCGCAAACTGCAGAGAAAATGCAGAGCTAGTTATATCCATTAGCAAGAGAGCAGTGACATTCACTATCAATTGTTACCAGAAAATATTGTGCACAGCATCTTTATAACCCTTTTATTGTTGTGGGGTATGGGGAGACAACCATCTATTTAATTAACCTATCTGCAGCCCATCTGTCGCTGTATATTCCACTTATACTGACATTTCTGATAAATAACATGCCAAATTACTATTTGAAAAATCCCTTGATATTGTTTTCAGGATTTTATAAGTCTGCTTTTATTGATTTTATCAATATTTTAAAATACCCAGATTTAAGTGATAAAATTGCAACTGCTCCATGCTTCTCATTTCAGCCAGAAGCATAATGCACCACTGGGGATTTTTCATGAGAAGAGGTTAGGACACAATGACAGGATGTGCTCCACAATACGAGTGGGCTTTTGTGGGCAAAGGACTAACTAAATGTAAGGACCATTTAAGCAATTCTTAAACATAACGTGATCACAACAATATAAGATAAATAATACAAATATTTAATATTATATCCTTAAAGCCATATGCTGCTTTCACTTCCTATTGCTATCCCTCTTGTTCTCTAATTTTTAAGACCTCCACAATATAACATTTGGACAGTACAGAAAAGGAGGACAAGTGACAGAAAATACAGAAAGGTAAGACACAGAAAAAAAGGGAATGAGATTTGAAGAAGCAGGCAAATGGTAAAAACAACAGGGACTTAAACTGGAAAAAAAAAAAAAAAAGAAAAAGAAAAAAATTGGAAAGTATAAACCCTTAAAATACTAACAACAAATATATCTGGTTTTAATGCATGTTATTTTCCAGAATATGTATAATTTTGAACCATTTAAAAAAAAATAACAAGATCACAAATTTCTGAACCATTTATATTTTTTCTAGAGAAAATAATATCTACTTGAATACGATGGGCACATACCTAGTCAGAACAAAAGAAGCAGATACTTAAGGGGAAAAAATGTTGATACCAGAGCAACTTATCCTATCCTGAGAAAGAGGAGAAAACCCCTAGCAATACACTGTGTCATAGCATTCACCCCTGCTTTTTAGATCAACTAGGAAAAAAGAAGACATCAGTGCAACCTGATGGAATACTTGCTAAGGATCTCTCCCTGGAAACTGTTTGGGAGAAGTACTTAAAAGCACCTGACATGTACTACAATTTCTGTGCAAAATCAAAGTGAGTCATCTCAGCCATGGCACAACTATGTGAAAGAAGAGAACTTGCAAACATGTTTTTCATACTGTCTCCTTTCAAACACTGTCTAATCAATTAAGACAAATGTTATATGTCATTATAATTACATGTACAAAATTCTAGCTAAAAGTGACTTGGATTCAGCTCAGATTATAAGGGTCATAATGAAAATAATATTACAACTCAGAGTTATTATGATGCGTCCATAACACAGTACTAATTATTATAATCCACAGCTGTAATCAATTATATTTTTATTTACGCACTGCTTGAATTGAATTTTTGTGGATTTGTTCCATCCACTTTTTATCATTAAGTATAATTCTGCATATTTAATAGTACAAAAATTAGTGCTTCTAATTGCTATATCTGATAGTATTAGGCCATTTAACCACATCACTATATCTGAGTGGAATCTAGTTAGGCAACAGAAATATGGGGATGAATTTAATCTTCATTAACATGCAAAGATGATTGACTTGTGGCCATCACTGTGCAAATTTCATCGCTATCTCTCCAACAATCAACCTTTAGATTCTGGGGATAAATGCCTGGTGGTTTTAATTGTGTTCTTGCTCCAAATTATTTGGGATGGTCATTTTTTTTTACTATTTGCATATGTTGCATAAACCATATTTTTTACATACTTTTTAGGTGAAAAATTTTTCATGTACTTGTCCATCAACCCACTGCAGACCCCCCCTGCTGACATTTGTGTTCCGAATTTTAAAAGATACAGAGTACATTTAAACAATAGTCTTATTCCATAGCTACACACAAAAAGGCCAGAGGAATATCAGAATTATGCATGTGAGATGGAAGAAAAGCACCTGGCAACTGTGCATAGAGCAAAATTAAAGTTCCTGTGATAGAGGAAAACATCTGTACATTTGTAACAGTTTTGAGCCTTACCGATTAGCAGAAGTCAAAGCTAGCCAAGAGCTTTTGGTTTTCTAGAAGGAAAATGTTATCCTACAAACCCTTCACACACCAGAATTTATAAAGATCTTGAAATATATCTTGAAATTCTATTGTCTCTTAGATTTTAATTAGGAAGTCAGAGTAGATATTGGTGATGGAATTATAGCAACAAGGGGATATAACACTATAAAGCAAGGGGAACACAACACTGTACTTTGCACCTAATTCCCTTGTGGAAAGGCTTGCTCAAGGTTTCCAAGATCATTACCCTAAGTGAGGTCCTCCATTCATTAAATCGAAGACCTGAGCTGGATTTAACGACTGTTTGAATCGACGAAGAAACTTTACTCCCTGATTGTCTCCACTCTTTGAGTTAACAAAAACTAAAAGAGGACTGGCACAGGATGGCGGGCATGTGGCCTTCCAGAAACCTGTGAACATAGTTAGAAAGAATGAAATAAATAAAGTTTCCTTATATGAACAACACAAAAAGAAATCATGGGAAAGAGGAAGATAGGGATGAAGGACAAAAGGAGTACATTTTATCATGCATAATGTAAATGCTAAACTGAGTATTAGTCCTACAAGGAAAACATAATTACGCAAGATTCACCAGTTCTTTTTTGTTTGTTTCTGGTATTTTCAGTGCCTAGATTTAGTAAAATCCTGAAGACAATAGCTTTATTGTTTTTCAACTGCTATTAACCTTTCAGCATACTTCTTAAGTCTCACCTTCACCGATTATCATCACATAATTCAATATATATATCAGCTACAAGTGTTTGGTTTTCAGTATTATTTTCCTTTGACTTTACTGGGTTGAACTGGATCATTCATGTCTGTATGAGCTTTTTAAGAGTACTCACAGATTTTAAATTACTTGTACTCAGTTCCTCCCAGGTGAGACTTCACGTAAGATCCATTTTTTCAGACTGAGGTTATACTATTCAGTATAACAGAATCACTGAACAACAGAAGACCTTCAGCTGTCATTCAAAGCTTATTTAAGTCAGTGCAGGTCTTAACTAATTACAGCAGGCTCTCTATAAGGTCCTTAGTCAGAAAGACTAATGGACATTATTGCTGCTAACATGACCAGCCCATGGAGGTAATGGTTTCCCAGCAACACTCCAAAATCAGACATCACATGTATAGGTTTTAACATTTGTCTCCAGCAGTACTAAAATGATTATGTTGCTTTCAATTACTAAAAAAATACTAAAGCTACAAATCAAAAAATTCATTAAGGGATGCCAATTTAATTCCACATTATCGTAATGTCTAATTTCAAATAAGGTCTGATTAATTAATTTAAATGACAAGAGAACTAATTTCACGTATTGAACAATCTTCCTGGCATGAGCAATAAATGACAGCATGATATCTAAGACACCACAAAGCAAATAAATAGAGTGAATATATACAGCATACACAATCACTTTTACTAACCTCATGTAACAAAATTAATTTAATTGCATTCATGGGGTTGGTCTACTTTACCATTGACACAAACTATAAAATTAAAATAGTTAAGATTTTGTGATACTTCTTTTTTAAATCCACTCTCTGCCTTGAAGTGCAGTCTCCCGCTGTTGATGTGTCTCTGTCCTGGACCACCAAAAAGCATCTCTGAGTTTTGAGCATTTGCTGGGTTTTATCTGTGCATTGCAGGATTTTTACACTGCTTATCTTCAAAAAACAATAAATTAGAGACGCTATGGAAGCAATTGCTCTCTTAAGCCTGGTAAAGTAGTTGGTGGATCTGAGCTGTTCAGCTAACTTATCTCTGCATAATGCAAAATTGTCCAAAATTTGAGAACTCACAGGAGTGGTGTATGCTAGACTGGCATCAGCCCACTTCATCTGAGGATTCTGATCATTCACTTGAAATGTTTCTAAGGGTCATAAATAAAATGGAAGACAATTTCTGCTGAGGCAACTTTAAAAAACATGCCAGTTGAATAACTCTAAAAACCTACATAGAAAATTATACTTCTCTCTAAATTTGCAGACTGCATTCACCTGCTCAGCAGAAGGATTTTAGCCTTGTTTATTTGCATGGATCTCAACAGGCACTGGAATTCCAGAGGAACCACTCAACACAGTACACTATTACGTACCATCAGAGTCTATACTGTTTAGTGCTGTTGGAGGGATGATCGATACCTTACATTGGCCAAGTGGACATTTACGAGGGTACAGATCTTTACAGGCTGTGTGAACCTACAAAAGAAACAAATAATTGTTTTCCTTCAGCAATTTTTGAAGTGAAAATACAACTGATACTATGTTATCTATGTAACAAAAAATGGACTCATATTTAACATTTAGGTGTAGAGGGAAAAGCAGTGAGACTAGGAAAAAAACACAAATGTCCAACCACAGAGCCTTGTTACTAATTCAACAAAACATTACTTTGGAGAACTTCAGCTACCACTATAGCAGATAAGAATTATCCTTTCAAGGGAATTACTTGCCTCTATCCACAAGGAAGGAAGAAGCAAGCTCCCAGCATCTGTGCTGATGGCAGCAGGCTAAACAATAGCTCTGAACCTGCCTGGTCCACTGGGGCCATTCTGGAACACATATCTGCATTAAAACTAGCACACCTACCAAGCCAGACCCATCTCCCTAAGTTGGGTCCCATAAACTCCATATTGCAAAGGCCTTTTCCACATATATTGGAAAGAGAGGCACATGCAGAGGTGGCTGCATTTCATCTAAATTTCAAGTCACCTCTGGAGATGCCAATCATTTTCTGCAACTCATTCACAGACCCTTGGACACCTATATGCCAAAAGTTTCAACAATAAATAAACTGCTGACTTGCATAAGAAATCCATCTTTTTAGACAAGTTGATACAATTAAGAGAAAACTATATATTGGGGAAACAGTAGTAGTGAGTTAGAGAATTTCAATCAGCAACCTACAGATTGCCCTGAAGAAGAGAAAGTCAAGATTTTGCACTAATGAACACATTGCTATATTAACAAATATGAATATAACATATTATTAAAATATTAATAGAGCAATATCTACAATAAAAAATACAAGGAAGTAACATATGATTATTAGGCATAAGGAACAGTCACCTGAACATTCAGCTCAGAAGGAACTACAAGAACACCTAGAAGAATGCAGAGAAAACACATTGGAGATGACAACACCTATTAAAGAAAAGCTGCATCTGTGGGTATTTAAAATTGATTGTGCAAGTAGGACAGTCATAAGAAATTCTGAGTGCTAGAGGAACCTGAGTTTGCAGAAGCTGCCTGCTCCTTCTTAATCCAAAAGCAGGTTGTGGTATGACAAAACAAAAGTAATGGCAAGCACTAAAGCTGTTGAACTGCGACACGGTTGGATGTGGCTCAGCACACCTACCATAGCTTTACACCAAAGGCACTTCCAATCCTGCAGGCGTAGAACACTGCCACAAGTCTTGTCGCAGACTGCGCACTTGGCACTGACGGGCAGGTTTCCCTCTAACCACTGGTGAGGCATCGCTATCTGTGGAGAAGGAGTCATTAGAGTTAAGTACCCAGAAAGGGAAATTAAAGGCTTTTGTCTCTCAAATACAGGTGGATTTAAACTATTTCTCAGAGCTGTACCCTTTCATCAAAGAAGCAGGTATGCTGGCCAGCCAGGATGAGGGACACTGATGCTCAGAAGGCGACTGCAGTGAATGGACCACTCTGGTGTTCCACATGCTAGGCAAAAAACATGACACCTGAAGAAGGGAGACCTGCCTCACTCATGGTAGCAATAAACCATAACACAATGGGGCATTCAAGTCCAGAGTCTCTGTCATACAAACAAGTTCCCACTCAGTTATGTTGACTACATGACACAAACCAAGTAAAAATACCTAAAATTCATAAAAATAGACAGGACAGCAGAATTCCTCTGTCACTTCACTTACCCACTCACCATGGCTGGTAAGTCACGGCTCTCTAAAGCAGTCCCAAATGCAGTGCAAAGCTTTACTCAGTGCACTCTTTTCCCCATTAATACCATGGGCAACTCAGGACACTCAGGTGTTCAACTTAGTATCAGCCTTCTAAGAAGAAGCTTCACACCAGTGGTTCATACACAGCTGTGTTTGTAAAAATAGTCCATTTATCACAATCAACCTCTCAAAGGCTTTTGTTGTTTCTCCTGCTAATTTTAAAATTCCTGCTTTCATCGCCAAAATCCCCTCCCAATTCAGTGAATTCCAAACGGGCCTCCTGGGGAACTGCTCCAGGGAAAGAGGACAAAAAATACATTGCCAAAACAGCATGGTAACAGTGCAAAATACCACCTTAGCTTAAGAGCAGTAGGAACTTCTGGGAGCAATTCTCCAGCTGCAGAGTTTCTCTGCATGTGGCCTTTAAAACCTTGTAATACATCTGCAATCTAGTGCCCACAGTTGCTAGACTTGTCTTGTGAGATAGGAATGCAACTTTTGTTCTAAATACCCTGTTAATCTTTGAACAGTGTTCGGGAAAATAGCCACCTACCATTAACTTCAATGGGTCACATGGGAATATTTCTGTGGTTGGGCTTTTTTTTCCCTAAAGAAGAAACAGCTTTGGAAAATACCGTAAAAATGAATAGTACTTACACCATCTTCATCTTCAATGATGTCTTTTCCAATTGAGGCTAATGTGGTCCATTTGCAGTTATTTGTTGCTCGGACAGCACATCTTTTATGTGCTTTAAACTTACACACTGCAAGACACAGATAAACATATATATCCTGTGTTATTTGCTGTATTTCAGTGATACACACCTTTCAAAAAATTAAACACGGACATCCCATAAAATAGCCAAGCACATATCACTTAGTGCTGTACACATGACACTAAACAACTAAAAGAAAATTCAGTTCATAATCACTCCAGCTTTAACTCTCTAAACCGGGTTAACTGCTTAGCTGTAGCCCATGCTGATTGTGCCCTGAAACCCACATTGGTCCCCATTTTTTCAGGTGCAAGGTACAATATATCTTTAACTATGGGTTTGCCTTTTCCATTTCTCTGGTAATATGACTCAAATATCTGACTTAAATTTGCAGGAAGTCATGGTAGACTGTTTTACAAGAGTATTTTGAATCAGGAGCTCTGTTTCTTTGCTCAAAAGATGCATTTGGGGCACCATGCTGGGCCTATTTTTCTCAGAAGATGAAAAAATGAAAGGTTTACATGGTGATATTTTTATTCAGGATACTGGGGATTACAAAATTTTCCCAGAACCTATATCACATTAGGAAGAACCCTACTTTTTACTGCATTCTTTACTAAAAGTCTACTAATTAGAATACCCAGCACAAGTGTGTAGTTAGGCAGACATTCGGACAACCTAACAACTATTTGAATTTTGTTCAACTCAATTAATATGCCTAGCTAACAATACCATATTAGACCAAACAGACTAACGCACCCAAACCGTGGGTATTTCTTCTACTGGAAGTGCATGATGTAATCCTATTTAGAGTGCATTATATAAATTATTTTGGCAAAGACCATTAAAGGTTTATGAGTATTAGCCAGCAGATCAGAAGTAGTAGTCTCTTTTCAAACAAATATTTGACAGGAAATTATCAAGGCTTTGACCCATTGCTTATCTACCATTAAAAAACATTAAGCCATAGTACAAAATGTCTTGTGAATAATAAATTTTCCATTTTAATTTCACTGCTCCATTGCCAGATCAATTTAAAAAGTGAATTGAGACTATGTAAGCAACATCTGAGTTTGAGAGCAATCCTCACTGTTCTGGGAGATGTGTGAAAGTAAGTGCTCAGCTCTCACTTTCTTACTTTCTAGAAAGAAAGAGAAGGAAAGAAAACAAAGAAGTTTCATTGCTTTCACAGAGTCATTTCAAAAAGCAACATTCATATAATCGTAGAATTATTTGGGTTGAAAGAGACATGTGAAGATCATCTAGTTCCTGCTGTGGACTGTGACATCTTTTACTAGACCAGAGCTCCATCCAGTCTGGTCTTGAACACTTCCAGGGATGGAGTATTCACGACTTCTCTGGGCAACCAGCGTCTCACCATCATCACAGTAAAGAATTTTTCCTACCATCTGATCTCAGCCTACTCTCCATTTGAAGCCATTTCCCCTTGTCCTGTCCCTACATGTCATTGTAAAAAGTCTCTCTCCATCTTTCTTGCAGGTTCCCTCCAGGTACTGGAAGGCTGCAATTACATCACTCCAGAGCCTTCTTTTTTCCAGGCTGAATAATCCCAACTCTCTCAGCCTTTCCTCACTGGAGAGGTGCTCCAGCCCTCTGATCATCTCCATGGTACTCCTATGGATTCACTCAAATAGGTCAATGGCCCCCAACCTAAGAAAGACATGGACTTGTTGGAGCAAGACCAACATAGACTCAAAGCATGCAAATATCCCATAACTGTCAACCAACAGGGTTGACTCACTTTTTCTGAACAGCTCAACATCACATTGTGTGTTTGCCAAACAAGCTGGTTCCCAACATCTAATGAAGCCAGCTCTCACAGAAGCACAGAAATAAAGGCCATATTTTCAAGTGATGGACCATGAGCAGTTTTCACCATCTGCATGTTTCAGACAAGATATGCCACTGCATTCAGCTCCCTACTCATAAATTATAAGCACTTGCTTTGTCACACAGATCAAAATACAACAAATCAGGGATGAGGGGGAATAGAAAATTACAAATTACAAAGTAATAGAATGTTCAACCCTACTGAGATTGATCTTAGGAACCCTGTGTTCAGCTTCTTTCTCAATAAGGCAAGGACAGAATCAATCCCAGGCTCTGAAGAGCTGCAGCAAGCCACTCTACAGATGGCAAGGGACAGGTAATGTTTGCTTTGTAAGTACTATAAATAACCTACCAACCAAATTTCAGATCTTTGGGTCACCCCCTGCAACCTCATTATCATGAAACAACAATTTATGTTAGTCTGAACATTAAATATTACCAACAACAATAACCTTAAGACACAGATGCAACTTGCAAGCAAAGAAAGGAAAATTTTGAATCAAACCTCAATATTAGTTACCACTACAACCTAGCTTCTTTTGTCTCAGATTACACTGAATCCTATTAATGAATCAGTCTGATACCTGAAATCTTTTGGAAAATATGCAGACATATGGTTAGACATCAACTGCCATTACTTTGCCAATGAAAGCTAAAATACCAGAAAAGTTAAGTTACTCAGGAAACTTAACATTGTAATATAGTTTCTGAATGCAGGTGTGCAGTCATTGGTAGTATGACCACACACTTTTAGAGAACAGGACCCTCAGTCACTGTATGAAATGGATGGTTCTCAATAAGTATGGGGTTGTGCCATACTCTGCTTCATAATAATTTTCAACAGGTACTTGCCTTATTGACCAAAAGTTAATGTAATACTGCTTTTCAGCCATCAATATTAATTTCTTCCTGGGCTTTTAAAATTATTATTATTATTATTATTGTTGTTGTTGTTGTTGTTACTATTATTATTAATTATTTTTGTTGCTATTATTACTATTATTATTATTGTTAATTATTGCTGCTGGTGTTGTTGTTGTTGCGCCCAGTTACTACATTAAGACTTTTTTTCAATACTGTATATCTTCAAAGCATCAGGGACTTAGAACAGCTTCAACTGATTTTTGCAGTGATAGGAAATATACAGGTTGCTGGTTATAAAGAAAGCACAACTACTGATTTGGTCAAAGATCTTATTTAAATGTTTTCCCCAGAATCACAGAAGGGTACATGTGATATAAAGTCATAGAACAGTTTTCTACTACTCCTTCATTCTTTAACAAAAAACATCCCTTTCTTTCTTGCTGCTTCATTCACTATTCACTCTCCAGACTGTGCAGAAAATATGGCAAAAGTATCAGAGGCAATGACTGTGCAAGTAGTGCCCACACAATTCCCTGGGCAATGGGTAAGAACAACACGGTTTTGTGGGTAAAACCCCACAGCCATAATGGAAAAACACAAAGAGCACAAAGTGCATTTGCAGAGGTAATTTAATCCCAATATTTTCGTACTGATTGACTTCATCATCCTAAAGTGTTCTTACAATATTGTGCGATTCATCACAGGAGAATGCAGTTTAAGAGAGAGGTTTCTCCCACTTATTAGCTATGCTTGATATTCAACAATCAAAGTCCTGTCATGATAAACAAAATGCTACATGAAAAAATAAATTTCTGAGAATAATGATAAATGCAGTGTTCCACTGGCAATGACTTAGATAGAAATGCAGTATTGATGCAGAGTAACTGAGGTTACAGAGCTCTGGAAGAGTTTCTGTAGATAATAATATATCATTCTTTAAGCTTCTTTGCCTAAACATTCCATATTGAAGCTAAACTCTTATGAGCACAAAAACCAAAATCCTTTCTCGATTCAGCTGATTTGGAATAATTCCTAAAGCAAGGCACAGAGATCATAATTACTCTGTCCTAGTAAAGACTGGATGAACATTGCAGAGATCAGTCCTTTAGCTAGAGCAACACAACACAAAGACAACATTGGAAAAGTAGATTATCTTTTGAGAAGACAAAAGAAAGAGCCTGTTGGAAGAACAGCATTGCATCTCAAAGAAGAGTCTGATTAAATTTTTTCAGAAGTCAATTGCTTGTCGAGCAGTAACAAGAATGAAGCCTGGTTTATTATAACTTACATCTTCAGACTGATATACATATCAGTTCTCTGACTTCTAAGAAGGCAAGTTCACACTAGTCTTTTACCTAGCAAAGGTATTAACCTACACACATTTTTCTACACTGATTTCCACAAGTCTTAGAGAGTATTCAGGGTGGCCTGCAATTAATTGCGCCAACATTTGCCAAAGGCTGGTGGGATGGAAGGTGCCCTGAAGAAAAAGTCACCCATCATGTCCGAAAGAAATGAGGCTTGATTTGTGGTCAGACTTTTAAAAAAGTGGTTATGCAGGAAAACAACAATTTTAAGAGAATAAAATATTACAGGACAACCAAACTATCAAAAGCTGCAAGATATCAGCAAAGGGATTTATTTTTTACCTATAGTTAAGAGTCAAGAATCAAATGCCAAAGACTCTAAGCTACTTTCAAGACAACTTGGTGTGCCAGTAACCCAACCCACTAACAGGAGGAAGAGCTCAATTATCTCTTGAAAGAGGCTCTCATGCTTTTCAATACAAGCATAATAGAGTAGCCTGGGATCAATGATCACACAAATAATTGAATTTTGTATAGATATAAATGGATTCCCAGTATAAAGCACTGCTGGAGGTTTGAAAAGCCAGACATGAATATTTAAACAGGTTTTTTTAAATTATGTAATGGAGAAAAGCAGCACAGAACAAATCTGGGGAATGTTAAGACTCCAAACTTTCCAGATTGTCCTCTCAAACTGTATAGACTGCTAATACAGGTAAGATAAAGAAAAAAAAAGATGATTAAATGCATTAGAAGTGCACATAGCAGAAGCAAGTATCAAACAAAAATGCATTTTTAGGTGCAGAAATTAGGGATGATGGGTTTTAACATGTATACATAATTACAGAGAAAGTATAAAGTATAACAGTAAAAGAGTCAAATGTCAAATGACTTAGATCAGATATAAAACTAAAGATCTTATTAAAATATAGAAGAAAATATATATAAAATAGAAGCTAAGAAGGTAGAGGAGGTAAACTTATTAATAGACAAAAGAATATCACAGTATCTACATACAAAACATTCCAGGTCATTCTTGATTATGAAACTGTGGAACAGTGAAAGGAAATCCAAATCACTTTCACAAGCTACTTTTAAAAACTGGCATCAGAAATGTGGATAAATGTAGCATTAGTTTGTCATTTGCTATACAGCAAGGTGGCAAACTCCAAATCTGGAAATTATGGGAACTTCCCTAATGTGAAGTTAATGCCAACACCCTGTATATCAAAAACATACTTAGATGCGAAATTAGACACTGGAAAAACATAAGATGGTGAACTACAGACATTAACATTGATAATTTTGAATAAATTACTCTTTTAAAGTAGCTATAATATTAAATTAGGAATGGATAAATTCTTTATGAAAGTCGTTCCTTTCCCTTGCCCGAACAAATAAAACTGTATTTGTACACAGAGGCAATACAACTGCATTTTAGTCAAGCACATGATACTTCCATCTGTCAATATCAGACATTGAGAATACCATAATTGCCTTTAAACTGTCCAAAGGACTTATTCACAGTGGAAAACATACACCAGAGAGGCTGAAAGTAACCATGCTACTTCTAATTTCTACAAAACGGGATTGTCCTGTTCCTTGGCAACTGCACCATTAGCTACATTAAAAGCATGGACAATTTAGGACAATGGGTTAATGTTCCCTTTGTAAGATTTCCTTAATACATATTATTATCCTCAAGTATTATAACAGCATCAATAATAGTAATGCATTTGCTGTTGGGTTACATACAACCAAAGAAATCAAATTATGAATGGTGTAACTGTAACTCTTTTCTGGGCAGTCAGCTATTTTAGTAATTAAATATCTCTACATTTCATATATCTCATAAGGTCACACAGATGCTTTATTTTCTCCTGTCTCCTAACACAAACAGACTTGTTACCACTTTTCCACAGAACTTGCAGGAATAAAAAAATAAGCTGATTTATTTATTTAACAAATATTATAATTATTTGTTAATTAAATATAATTTCTAGCTAAATGCTGAATTTTTAGCCACACTTCCTTTTTCTGTGTGCTGGATTTCCCCTGTTGAACCATCAAATGCAGTCATCTACATCTCTACCCCCTCACAGCATGAGAGTTTTGAAAGCAGTAAATCAGTGTCTACTGCAGGATCAGGCAGCAGCAATAGAGAAAACAAGAATAGGAGGGCAAGGGTCATAACACTTTGTTCAGTGTTAAGAATGCTTTTAGATTTGGGGCCGAAAATACCACCATGATTTTTTTTTTCAGAGAAATGCTGATTCTGCGAACCAGTATGACTATTTGGTTCCACATTTTTGATGTGCAAATCAAATAAATGCTATCCTTTCTTGCAAAGCTGGTTGCTGCAACAGAGAGAAGTGTTCTATTGAAAAAGGTACCTGGAGCAACAGGAAAGTGAGGCAGATCATTAGCAGTCCCTCTGCCCAGAGGAGGGTCACTCTCATGCAGAGTTTTCTCCCTTCAGGCTCTTTTGTTCCTCATTTTTAGGATCATTACTCATACTGAACTTGCAGCTATCTGTCTACACACACAGCTCGATAACCAGGGGGAAGGAATCATGACTTTACCTTCACAGGACAGGCCGTGGGAAGTGACTCCAGAGAGGCTCTCTCTGCACACGTTACAGAAGGTGGGTCGGGCGTGGGAGCAGGCGTACCAGTTATGCATCCCTGAGAAATGTTCCACATTAAACTGTGCGGTCTAGTAAAGGAGAAGTTAAGACAAATTTGCAAGTACAGAACACAGCTACGGTGACTGACATTACGCACGGTTCCATATTACAGGGGACCACAGTGAAATGCTCATCAAAAGGATTTTCCAAAGGGTATTTAGCCTGCTCTCCCTCCAAAATTCTAAACCGAAGTGTGATAATAAGTTCTCATTTTGTGAAGTTCTTAGGTGAGGCTTCACCCTAATATTAGACACACTTTTCACACTACTCCAGTTCCATGTCCTGCTTGATCTGTTGAGCCAGAAGAGGTTGCACCAAGAGGGATGTCAGCTTACCTCATAGTGTTCTCTGGACTGAACGGACTTCAGAGAGCTTATCCAGTCCTCCATTTCTTTTCTGTTCTCAGCACACAATATTAGCCTCCTAAATGGAGTGATTATCTGAAAAAGATAACACATCCTGATTAATCCAGATAGTAAATGTCATGACAGACTATGATATTTAATGTACTCTTCCCCATGAGATGATGCAAAAGGATGACACGCCCCACAAGGCAAGGTCCTAAACAATAAAATATTAAATTAAAAATATTTTCTTTAATGCACTACCAGCAACAAAAGAATGTGCTTTTCCTTGTACAGTTCTCAAGTTTCGAATCAGGTTTTGGTACAGGTCTCTGGAATCTACAATGACCATTACCCCTTCTCAGCTCTTTGTCTGTGCACTGAGATTCAAATGCTCAAATGGCAAGCACTGAAATGCTAAAACAGCCATTCTGTAAATTACTATTTGACTAAGACTGCAATCCTATTTCATAACTGCATCATAGCAACTGCAAGGTCCATTCCAATTGCTAGAGATAAAAACATATCAAAACCAAATGCCTGGAAGTCCTAACCACAAAAGCTGTCATATTTCACTATTTTGTATACTGATAACATATTTACACAAATTTATACCCATAAAAATTTAAAACAGCACTTTTTATATCCAACTGTATCAACTCAGTATAAGAACACATACAAATCTTTATAAAAAGCCACAGAGAACAAAAGCAAACAGTTGAAATCATATCCTACTAGGACAAGTGAATGCATTCCTGGAAAAAGTTGATGCTGGGAATTTTTCAGTGGTCTAGAGTTGGATTCTAGAAATCTGAAAATACTGTATCAAGGAGTACAAGCTGCTCTCCCCTCTCCTTAAACAGAAAAATAATCAAAATAACAGGAAGACAGCAGAAACTATCAGCTAACTCCCACTGAAATTATTTTGAGCACTGCGTTAAAATAGCCAAAGCAGTTACTTACATGGCAAAGAATTTAAAACAAGTACAAGAAAATAAGGAATGTTATTTGTTTTGTTGTAGAAAGTCTGAAAAATAAAATTAAATTCTTTATCAGTATTATGCATTAATCTGCATTGCCTAGTATGTACCACCAACACTTGCAAATTAAATAAAACAGAAAAAGGACCACCAAAAAAATGGTAATTCTCAGTATTCTTTAAATGCTACAAGCTAGACATTACAACATTTGCACAATATTAGTAAACATTCATCTACAGCTGCAGTTACTTACCCAGTCTCTGCTGTAAATTGTCTCTAGCCTTGATTTGTCCTATCCACTCCTCCATTAAATTGAGCTGCACTTTAACATATCTCAGAGGCGACGTAACTGAAGTGCAGCAGGCTGCAAGTCACATGGAGGGGAGGCAAAAACCCTTTGGGCTTGCCTTTTTTTTTTTTTTTTAATGTACTCACTTCACATGGAAGGGAATAGTTTCTTTGTTTTCTGTTTTCTTCAATCTTGCTTAAGCTATTTAATAAGGTTTATTAGTAGGTTTCCATGGCTTTTCCTAAAGAACAGTTTATGCAAAGAGCAATGCTTCTCTCATTAGTTTGGAGCCAAACAGACGCTTTATTACTTCAAAATGTTTTTCTAGGCCAGGTCATCCAATGAAGCCAAGAAAAGTCATTAAATCATAATATAACCCTGGCTCCAACAACAATCAGCATTCTGCTGAAATTTCCAGGTTTCAGTGGACACAGAAATCTTATTTGGGCAAATATGAGCCACAGATTATTTCCTATTATATAGCATGAGATTATGGTACAAATTAAATAATGATAAATCCACCTAAGACTCTGCACATTATGTCTATCCTCCTGCCATAGTTATTACTGATTCTAACTGGTAACCACATGTGAAATGCCATTAAGCAACAACAGCTGCATTTACTGCTGAAAACTCCTGACTAATCTTGATCTTTTCAAGTAATACTTAGATATATATTACTCCTGTCTTCAAGAGTACTGGTCACAATCCACTGTGCATCCCTCCAGCCTTTTCCCACTCTGAAATTAAGGCCCTGGTTCAGTTGCTCACACCTAGTTACCCAGTGCCAATGAAGACACCCTTTGGTATCAAAAGTTTTGGCAGGGGAGGGGTAAGGATGACAGAGGACCAGAACAGTAGCTATAAATAACCAAGGTGGGACACCAAACTTCCTCTCAAAATGCCCTGCACACCCATTCATTGGCAATCAAATCACATCACCAAACACTGCTAACCAATGCATGTAAACACACCAAAAATCCATGTATTCCAGCTTCTTACTAAAACCAGAAAAAAGTGCAAAAAACTTAATAAAGTTCACAGCATTGCAGCAGTCTAACAGCTCAATAGGACACTGTCAATCACATGAACATAGGATCAATTATTATTTCTACAAAAATAAAGTGGGAAGTTGGAAGGCGCACATATTTGTAAATACAATTAAACTACATATTCTCTTTGAGTTACATATTTGCAACAACAAACTTCAACAAGGTACACAGTAACATGAAAAAGTACAAAATGCATTATATGCAAGAAGTATCAACAATGCTTGAAATTTTTTGAATAAAATAAAATAAAATAAAATAGGAACTAAGAAGCCCGTTTAGCTTCTCATCTATTTCAGTCTACAAAATCATAGAGAAAATGTACTCTCATTATTTTTTAGATATTTCATGTAACATAAGAACTCAGGGAGCCAAGGAAACTGTTAGCAAACAACAAGAGTTTTTCCCTAAATGCAAAGCATTCTTTAGCCTTGAAAAGTATTCCCAAAGGATGCTGAGGAGACAAAAAGTAAAAATGTCCAAAAAGGCATTTGAAAAATTAATCACAAATAAATGCATCATATACTATAAAAGACAATATCTGAAATCTTCAACTTATCAGGTCTTCAAGAGTCCAACAATGAGTCACTGTTGAGAAATGACTCAAGGGTAAGAATCACTGTATATGCTCTGCTGTTTCCATTTCATTCTTTAGTATCTGCTACTATTATTATTATACTTTGATTCAACTTGGTTTTATGAGCTTTACACTAACTCAGTACAGCTTTTCTTGTTTATCCTAAATTGAGACTGACTTCCTAAACCTTCTTATTCGCATTTATACAGATGGCATGCTTTCTTCTGAATGCTTACACAATGCTAGGATTAACTATGTGGGATGTTTAAAGTTCATTCACGATAGACAACTGAACCTGTGTACCAACATAATCAAAATTAAATGGATGTAACTGAGCTCAAAACAATTTTCCTGCCATGTAAATTTGAATTTAACTAGTAATTCTATCTCATTGAATGTATTCATATTCAGAGTCCTGTATATTCTCTTCTGCTGGCCCAAGTCAGCACCTTTTCTTCAATTACATATTACCTTTTTGATCTTCGTTGCTCCAAATATTGCTATTTGTAGTGCTCTGAGTATGCTGAACTCTCAATGGAAAGCAAGAAAGGAAAGAGAGAAAGAGAGAAAGAGAGAAAAAGAGAGAGAAAGAGAGAAAGAAAGAAAGAAAGAAAGAAAAGCTCTATAACACAATGCAAAGGAAGTGTTACAGGAGCCACTCAGATAACACAAGAATAAGAACACTCTTACATCCTGAAGGAACTCAGGTGCCAACAGTTCACATGCTGACAAAGCAGGAGACAAATCACAAAAGATTAAGTTCTTAAATCACAAAAGGTCTTAAAAAATAAATAAGATTACCTTCCTTTGAAACTTTTCACCATTGTCAAGCAGCCAAGAAGTCACTGCTGATTATGGAAAAGACAATTACCAAGAGCAGATACTGCAGTATATTGGAAAGTAATAAAATAGAGGTAGTTTGAATAAAAAACACTTTTAATGCAGTAGGCATTGGGAAGAGTGAGCATATAGAGTCTTAAAAGTTGAAGACAACCAACACAAACCCTAAAAAATCCCAAGAAATAAACAGTGTCTGAATGGGAAGTAAAATTACCCACTACTGCAATCATGTTCTTGCTCTTTTTAGAAAAGTAGGGGGATTTTTTTGAATGGGGACTGAGGGAGAGAACAAGAGATCACTGTTCACTCTGCTACCACATAGGTCTTGCCTTAAATTGGGATTTTCACACAAACACTACGATAATTTGGCTTCTAAAAATAGACATATATGCATATATATATATGTACACACACATCTTGAAATTACTTGGATGACACTTCTACAGTCACGTTTGGGACCTACTACAACTTTTCTTTCAGACAACACTTACTAGGAACAATTTTAACATCTTGAAAGGAAATAAAATTGTCATCAAGTTCAGAGTAAATTTCAAAGTCCTTTCTTCTTTCAGTGGGCATAACCTAACCCAACCCTAATGTAACATTCTACATGCCTTCAGCTCAGTGGGTTTACATGTACAATCTATAAAATAAAATCACAGAGAGTTAGATTAAAGCCTATTGCCTAATTTTTATTCTATTTATTTTACTATCAGCAACATATAAGAAAATACAGTTCCCAAAGCTTGTTAGCTCCAGTTCTGGCTTCTTTTACTAATTCAAAATGAAGACACAGTGTTTGCTAATCAAGAGAACAGTGCTCTATACCTAAGTAGTTACAAAGCAGCTACTGTAAAGCATTCTGCTTCCTGCAACATGATATTTGCATTAAGGCACCTTCTGCCACTCTGAACTATTATCAGACATTACACTAATAGCACTTTGTATAGCTGATCTTGAATTAAATTACTAATGTAGAAATGCCACATAGAATCTGAAGGAGCTGGGGAAATGGTTTTCCTGTTCTCTGGACAGATATTTTTAAAATATCTTTCTGGAAATAATGACGAGAGGATGATACAGAGAGAGCACCCCAACTCTCTTCTTAGGGACTATATTCAATGCCTGGGACAGGAGTGTAACATTAAATGCTTCCTAACTTCTCTGTGCTTCAGATGTTGGCAAGTCAGTACAGGCAAATACCAGGATAACAATGCTCTGCCTCCCTTGCTTTTCCATTCCCCTTTTCTCCATTCCACTCTTCTTGTGCAGGTGGGTCTGTATGAGTGTGGCAGGTGAAGGCACCTCCACCAATGGTAAAAGTGGACTGCTGGGGTCATTGATGCTCCCACACCTTCCAG